TATTTCTGTGGGACCGTCAAATCCGCGAGTAAAAAATAAAAGAAATTGACAGCAGGCGGGCACCGTGCGCTGACCTACGCAAGAAAAAACGAACAAAACGCGAAGTGACGCAAGGTGGAGCTCGCCGCGGTGCACCGGCGCGGCGCAGTTTGTCCTCGATGTTGCACCGACATTGCGCTGCACGACCGAGGAGCGCTGTGCACTGTGCTGGTTTCAGGGCGATTCCGGTGCGAGTTGATCGAAGATGCTATAAAATAAATTTTTACTGGAATTAACTTGCGGTCAAAATCCGGTGACATTGTGGTAAAATATCCGGTGTCATTCCGGTAAAAATCCGGTGACATTTTAGTAAAACAATTGGTGACATTCCAGTAAACAATTCCGGTGACAGTCCGGTAAATTACGGCTTTACTGGATGTGAAAACAGTCCCATAATCCAGTAAAATAGACTTTTACTGGAAATGACATTCCGGTAAAAAATATTTTTCAATAGGGAGAGGCTACGAGTTCGAGTGCGTAGCTAAATTGGATCACGGAGCCTCCGTCAGTCGTCCCGTGGAAACGGCACCCTTTATCAATGCTATCGCGAAATGAAATTCATGACCTACTGATGTCCAGTGCATAGCGAGAACTTCGGTGATTTCTTTTAGAGATGTTCGTCCGTCGGCGATGGACTGTGCGAATAGGCTTAGCGTTGAGCAGATCGCAGCGTTGACGCACATTCCGACCGGCGAACATTTTCACTGTGCACTCCTTCAGCTGCACGGCGGTCTGATTCGAGCGCGGTAGATCCCAGAAAGAATTGCCGAGCTGAACACCACGCAATTTCACGTAACATAGAACTTCAAAAACACCACGTCGCCCTTGCTGCGCCAGTCGAGGTAACCGCCATCTTGAAACTGGCGCTCTCGTTGGGTCCGAGATCTCTCGAGAGCGTCCCGCAAAGCCCACTAGCCCGCCACGCAAAATCCCCAGCGTTGCGTGCGTGCGCAACACGCTAGACCTTCTATTGCGTTCTGCGCATGCGCACTCACGACCCGCAATTTTCTTGCGTACGCAAAGCTATAGCGTACGGTCCACTAAAACTGTCTAATAACTAAAATCACACACACACAAACGCACGCACGCACACGCACGCACACACACACACAAAGAACGAAACGAAATTTAATTATTAGGGACTTTCCGCTACGTTAGATCGTATGCAAGAGCTTTGCGTTCACACGCTTGCAACCGAGTACGACCGAGAGATACGAAACCCTTTTGAAACCTGTTAAAATTTCTGAGGACGAGGGAACACACAGGGGCCTTAAACACACTGGCATTCTGGCGCCATCTATGCGGTGACCCTGGAACTGCATTTCACAAGAGCGAAAATTTTGCGGGATTTTCGAGGTCAAATGCGCGTAATACCTCTAAGAAAGGCTCGTTTATAACGTCGACAAAAGTTTTTCGAGCCAAGAAAAAAAAGATAACGCGCGAGAGAAATAAAAAATATCCTAGACCGCCAAGCCTGAGCGCACTGACCGTAGTGACGTAATGTACGTCACTACGGTCACTGCGGTTTTCTTCTCTCGAATTTCGCTTCATTTTAGAAGTAATAGGCAAATTAAAATTACAAAAACAAGCGAAAAATAACCTCCCTCATGACGTCCTTGGTTGCTTGAGTGGCCGTGAACTAGAGGAGGAATAGTGAGCTCAGCGGGTACTCACGGCTGCCGCACTCCGTGTCGACGGCGCGAGAGGGCGCCACTACAGCGTGTTGGATAGGCTGTATACAGCGGGCAGACAGAGCGGCTCTCATTGCATTTGCTGCGCGATTAAACAATAATTCTGCATGACACTTCATTGGCCACAAACGACAGCAAACACGGGATAAAGATCAGTTCAGAATGGTAGTCACTTCGCGCTGCCGTACCGCGAAATGGCCAAAACGCAAGACAAAGCTACTCGCTGAAGGCCTTCGGAACGCTCAGAGCCGGTCGGATCCTCCAGTCCGTAAACGACCGCAGCGCCGCCGCATACATCCGGGACCTTTCCGTGTCGGCTCCTGACCCCACTACTCCTTTCTAATATGCGCCGCCTTTTCCACCGCTTGGTGGCGGGTATGTCGACACACCATTTCTTGTTTCCGTACTTAATAAACTGCATTTGTTTCTTTTCTGATCTAAAATACTGAACAAAAACTACTTTCATAAATAATTGAAACGGTTCGCGCCACTGATATTTTGTATTTCAACTAAAAAGAAGCTTTGAGCGGCTCTGACCAGTAGTAAGCCCAGGACCAAAGACGTCACACTTCACGCGCTTTCGGTACCGCGGGTCGCCCCCGTCGGTGGAGGAGGTTTCCGCGTCATCCGGTTAAAATATGATGCACTGATATTTAGTTACTCTCTCCGTGCCCGCTGGCTTGCCTGAACCCCAAGAGACGTGGAAACCGCAAAAAAAGATAGACGCTTAAATATGATTGTAGGGCCACTTTAAGCGCTGGATGAATTTTCAGGATGTCACACACTTGCGTTTGACTACGACCGACTGAAACAAGACGGGATTTTAAAGGGTAACTGCAAAGAAAAAAAAAGTGTTTTTAAACAGCCTTATTAGAACAAGCATGTCACAAAACAAGTCTTACGTGAAAAAACAAATTTTTCTTAGCAATATTTGCGCCACAGGACGTAATTTAGTCGGAGTCACAACCTCTTCACATTTGAAACTCCCGCTCTTTCGACGCGCGCGGAGTAACTGGAATACGTCACTCCGGGACGTGTAGCCGCCACTCCGTGACGTATAATACCAACTTTGTGGCGCGCGATATTAGCCGCAAACTAATATCAGTCCCGCGCAATAAATATTGCTGTAAAAAAATTGTTTTTGTTGGAAAAATTGTTTTGTGACATGACCGATGTCACCAAGCGAACTGCGCAGGCGCGCGCATTCCGGAAGTGGTGCCGCCGCCATGCTACTTGTAGTCATCCCTTCCTGGCTTCCCGGCTACATACGGTTGCGCGTACGTACATCATCATAGATTATCATTTGGCATGCCCCGGTATCACCTTGATTCTCTTGCATGTTTTTACTTCATAAGATTGTGTTGTTTGTGATGCCTTTACTTTCCTCAGCAAGTGGAGAAAAGCGGTTACAGTCGTCTTATCGCTTTAAATCGCTTTGTTGTCTGCTTCGTCGTCGTCTGCTTCTTCGTTTTCGTGAACGCGTGAGCTGACTGCGGTTCACGGGGTAATACCGCTGCGACCGCGGAAAAACACAAAACAAAACAAAAAAAACTACTCGAGCATTCCGAGTCCTCGGACGTCTCAATTACCTTGCAAACAAGTGAACATCTAGTGCAATAGCAAAGAACAAGAAAATTCGAGGGACCATCGGCTCGGCGAAGCACCACGGAACAGCATCAAATGTGATGAAAAACTGAGCTTGGTGGTGCTGAGTCTTGTGCATAACGTTTAATCAGCCATCAAGTAAGAGGAGCTAAATAGACTTTCTCGGTCAGGGGTAGTTTTCTAAAAGTTGTTTCATTCTGGTTGACAGCCTGTGCGACAGAGTATCGATGAACAGCGGGAGAAGCCTGCACACAAAGAACTGATCTACAGAAAGGCCATGCCTGACGGGCCGTAATAATTGGCATCTATCAAAAAAAAAAAAAAAAAAACCATGCCAGATACCTGAAAGCTTGGGGTGGAGATGATTTTTCGTGCACAGTTTCTATTCAGTTTAATTTTGTTTGCGCAAGATCCGAACGCTAACAGTCGCCCGACGGGGGAAGCTTTTTTCTGCGGTCTCGACTGGTGCTAGTGCAGAATGAACCAGTAACACCAGCCTAATGGACCACCACAAAATGGATGAGGTTCGTTTGTTACATTTTTGGCGGTAAGTACGTGTTGCACTTCTAAATTGCATTATGTAATCTTTTCGCGTTGGTATGGAAAAAAAAAATGAAGGCTGCTTCCGAAAAAAAGTTGTTTTATATCAAATGGTGCATATCGGGAATCGCTGCTCTTTTTAGTGATTGTCCTGATCTTTTGAAGCACAGTTGTGCTTGAAATATGTCGTCGCAATAACAGTTATAACCACCAAAATACACCGAGTAAGAAGTGTTTTAAAAACGGCCTCCGCAAAGCAGTGCGGAGGTCCTATTTGAGATAGACCAATGAATAGGCCGCTACGGAGCAAATGTTCAGAGAGATTCCAGCTTACGGAACACTTCGGCACGCTCTATGTCTCGTGCCCTGTAATCTTACATATTTTAGCTGACGTACAATAATTGGATATAAATTATGAAGCAAATCGCGAAAGAAACTGTAAAACGCTACTTTTCCTGCCGCTCTGTCCGGGAAGACATAATATCCGAGGCCTTTTTGCCTGGTGCTGTTATTATAGCTCCGTGGCGTACACCATGTGAAGCCACCGATTGAAAACCATGAGTAAACACCTGGCTAAAAGTCTCGTGCTAACCCGAAAATTTGCAAACGCCCGGCGTACAATGCGCGCCGACGCGGCCGGAAAACTGGGGAGAACTACAGGTACCAGAATGCACCGCGGCAGCGGTGGCGTCGCGCAACTCCTCGTGAGATCGGTCTATTAGGCTGTTTAATAATACACTTTTTTCTTTGCAGTTACCCTTTAAGCCTCTTGTGGCTGCTTACGACCGGCTGCGCAGCAAATCCGTCGATCGTAAGCCGGCTGCAGGCAGGTAGTACCAAAAACAAAATTGGTAGATCACGGTCTACCGTTTGAATTCCTGCCTTTTCCCGCCCTTTTGGTATTGCGGACTTTAGAAAGCCCAACTTAGTAGAATTAATTTGTCTTATTTATAATCTATAACAAGAGATATGGCGTATTATAGACCTATCTGCTAGCCGTGCACGCCTTGTGCGAACCCCCTTTCTTTGTGTGCAAGCGAAGGGGAATATTTCAAGAGATAAATTATAAACCCTAGCCAACCCAGGTTGGCTAGGGACGACGCAGCAATCCCCATCGCGGAAAACATCTTTCCAGCAGATAGCGTAGAAAATGTAAACAGCAGCGATGGGTGTTCGCTGCCTTATCGCACAAAATTTTCGCGTAGAGGCTTTGAAAAGCATATCGCTGTTATCAGAATAAGCTGTAAAACTATATTTAACACACACATTTCGTGGGAACAAGAGAAAGGTCAGTACCCCTTTAGTAATCCCCTTCAAACGAGCTTTCTTTTTCCGCTTAGAAGTACGTCGAGTATCGAATCTTCCCTAGTTTGTGTTCGGAAATAGCCGTAAAAATAAGAAGGATTGACGTAAACACGCTCTTTAGTCGTTCGCTACCATGGTCGCGATGCCGGGCATTGCGCAGCTGCTTCAATCGTCCCAATATTCCGTTCGGACACGTTACAAAATATTCGAGAAATGAGCGCGTGCTCGTGAGTCAAATCAGCTGTGCTCTGTGTCTTGTGCCCCACTCTGTAAATCGCGCCGAGACAGAGCGCTTTGTTGCGCGCTTTGTAAATATAGGCGTATGTCTTTCTTTGCGTTCAGCAAACACCGCACGTGTAGTACTTTTTTTTTTTTTTACAGCATTTTTTTTAATGTTGTTTCTTTTATTTTGTATCTAATCGTTTGATATTTGCGCGCGTCGAAATATTAAAGGCCAATAAATCTAAGGCGTGCCAAGTGGGCGTAATCTAATCAGCGGCGATAAAGGAGAACCTAATTGGAGATTCCAAGCTTGAGGTGACAATTCTCGCTTTAGTTTTATCTTGGCGTCCCGTTCACCGCGCGTTCAAGAGCTTACTGCCCGTTTCTGTCTCGTCTGGTCGCTCCTCGCTTCGGACAGCCGTGCAGTCTACCGCTCTAAAATAGCTCGTGTTATTTGATCTTGAAAGCTGATGTAAGTATAAAGTATCTCGATCGACCCCTCGCTGTGAAGGAACATGAAGTTTTTCGCTTCGCCTTTCTTGTCTCCCTTTTGTAAAAACTTAGTGGGCCTGTCGCGGCTCAACTTTTTCATTTTGTTAACGCTGTGGTTCGGCGTAATTGTACCATCCTAAAAACTGTATCTTTTTGTTTTGTTTTTGTTGTGGTATAACTTTAAATTTGTATGTATAAAAATGTATGTTCACTTAACTAACTTTATAATTTATTAATTTATGCTCATATAAAAAATAATGCATCTGACCAGTCTATGAGAGACCTGAGTTTAGATCCCAGTGTTGGCACATAGATATCTTGGCGAATTTTTTTTTTTATATACCTTTTTCATTAATGTAGTTTTTTCGTTGTGCTGATATGTAATGTGAGGGACATTGAGACGTTATGACTAGAGCTGAAACTTCCGGGACAAAATTAGTGCTGAAATCAAAACAGAAATGCAAAAACATCAAGGCACTTTTCGGGAAAATGTATGCTTTTGCGGGTACACTCGGAGTGTTTATTAGCAATGAAACATGTATACTTTCTATTATTACAAAACACACTTTCTACTCTTGTGAGTTGAAGAAAATGGTTAGGAACATCTCAAGTGTTTCTTTGCTTAGGTTCTGCCTTTCCTCTGTTGACAAATTCTTAAAGTCGTAGAATGGTCGCTCCACTTCCACAGAGAGGGGTTGCAAAAACCTGAGGGCTCCTTTGGCATTCAAGTCATAAACGCCATTTGGAGTTCTTTGTGAACATGCTCGCTCTATTTCAGGGTTTTTCTTGAGCGACTTTCAAAGTTTGTCTTTTGCAGAACCGTCCAACAATAACACGCCAGCAGGGGCGCGCATGGAAACGGCGGCGTGTCGCTGGAAGCCATCGCAGGCCAATTGGTCGCAGCTTTTTCTGGGGCACACTTGTCGTCAACAACCATCAGGAGCGTCCATGGCACTATCAGTTGGTGGCATAGTATATCCAGCGCTTCTGGAAGGCAGGGAAGGTAGCCGGCTCATATATGGTAGCGCATGCAATTTGAACGCTGTTGGCAAAAGAATGCCACGCTGGCTCCTGGCCGATGCAAAAAATATTATCAATGGGTGAAAGGCATATTTTATACAAACGTTTTAGTTAAGTGACTGGACACTAAATAGAAAATCGGGACAATATTGAATATTTTGGGACACTTAACATAGAATTAGGACAACTTGGGACAACAAAGTTGATGAAAACCAAGTGGAAATAACTCGATAGATGTGTACTGGTAGCTGACACTGTTAACCGGGATGTTTTTCGAAAACGGGACGTGTCCAGAAATCTCAGCTCTAGTAACGACAGATCTGAACAATTCTTGATTATCAGCCGTCTTGTTCTAAGGGTTTTGCACTCCGGGTGAAGACGATGACGGTCGGCGTTGACAATGATTTCTGCATTCAGTATTGTGTATGTTATTGCTACTTTTCCAAAACTGGTAGCATGACTGCCCTATATTTTCCTCCTTTCAGACAGCGAACACCTGCATTAAAATTGGAGAGCTTCAATGGAAAGGTAAGTTGTGAAATCATTACATTTGTATAACTATGGCAACTTGCTGATAGAGCTGCAAAAGTTACTTTTAAATAAGAAAAATTCAAGTTGCATGCCACCGAGGCTTATGTGATTGCCCCCGATTGCTGACCCTCTGCTTTGTTTTTAATGGCAGAAAAAAATGACAGTTCAATACCTTTCCCATTCAACACGCTACTACGATGCATTTCAAGGCTGTTTCATCAACTTGTAGCACTCATCAGTAGACAAAACTCATGAGTCTACATCTTAGGCATACTAACTTCCTACTGAACTTCTGAGTGTCCATACAATGACCTAGACCGTTTTCTTTCCTCGTCCGAATGAAGGCAAATGGTCGGCCTTGATTGCTCAGATTTCTTATAGTCTCTGCGGAAAGAAGCCGACTCTTCTCTCGCAGTAGCCTGCCTTGCTTGGAATAAGTTGACTGCCTTCATTATAGTTGGTTGCCTCAAAGTCAATGTTTGGCCATGAGCAGTGATTGGCTCGGAAGGCATGGACAAATTGGGCAGTGGAAGCTGTGCATTGACTAACACTGATCCGACTGCCATTGCTAGAGAATTTACCCATTTCTACCTTCAGTATGGGTGAATATGAATTGCTATCTTAACTTGAAGAAGCTGTAGTTCAGGCTGTTCCAGGGGATTTAATAGAGGGGTTAAAATATGCAAATATGGGTCATGTTCCATGGGAATGTAGCACCATATTGATAACATCTATGTACAGTTAACTAAATGACACTGTGAAACTCCTCTGGTTCGTTGCTTCATTTCATTGGGATACAGGTTGAGCGAGAAATGGTGCCTGTGTTTGCGAGAAATCTGCGACCTGTCCATTTGCTGAGAATGAAGGACCAGTTGCTTATTCATAAATCTAAAATTATTCAGAAAGGTAGAAAAAAAAGACTGCAGCAGACATTGATTAACCCTTTGCATTTTGAAAGATGTCAACTGTGTTCCTGTGGATCATTAGTCTGCAAGCAGGGCATAAAGCTGCATAAACAGTAGACCATGTTCATTGCACTGTCTGACAAGTAATATTTCTAGCTTCCTTGTGAAAAACAGTGTGAACGAGACTAGGACAAAAAGGAAGGACTACACAGGATAAGCACTGACTAAGAACTGATTTTTGATTGAAATGTGTAGATGTCACTGTGCTTGCATAGGCATAGGGTACACCATGGATTTTGCACTTTTTCTTGTTTGTTTCCCACTCCATGTGCTAACCAAGATCCAGAATATAGCCAGTGAAGGTTGGCTTACGCAAGAGTGCTTTTTATGTAGTAGGTTTCCTTCAATTCTCTGCACATTTGGTCTTGGTGTTAAAACAATACGGTGATGTTGGAGAACTGCAGTTCGCACCCGCAATCTCGATAGTGCTTCGCTAAATGCGAGTATGCAGTCCCTTCCATGGAGCTGTGTTGTTCTCCGAGTCAAATGTTCTGGCATCGTCCCGTTTGCCCAATATAGGAGCACATGCAGGAGAAAGGGATCATGTAGACCGTGCCTTTTACGGAGGTGACGAATTTGATGCGTTTGATATTGCCTCTTTCTCTTTGCCTTTGTGTCAGTTCACCCTGGAGCATAATCAGCCTAGTTTGTTGCTACCTTTTAATGCTACCTTTTTAAGTCCATGTGACATGCGGTGAATATATGGGATTACCGATACCTTGTTCTTTTCCTTCTTCAACTGTTCACCTTGAGCAGGACCGGCTTCCAAGTTTTTTTACTAATTTGTCAAATGCTGCCAGAACGACGAGTCTGGAAACCCTGATTCTCTCACCTTTTCAAACTGCAAGCTGAAGCCTATGTTTATTTTGTGAATGCACAACTTAGATCATGTGGATCTTGAGCTTCCTCTGATTCTCCCAGTGCCTAACTGATTTATACTGTAGTCATTGCAATCATATTTAAAGTAAAGTTTGCTTAGAAATACTAAAAAGGGATGTCACTCATTGGGGTTTCAGCGCACCTGCATATTGCTTTAGCATTTCAGGTATGTAGTCCCATCGTCTATGACTACTGTGATACAAGTTTTACTGGTTTCTTTGGGTGCTTTATTAGCATTAACATAGCAATTTGAGATGTGCTATTTCCCATGGCTCTGGAGTACTCTCTTTAATTATGATTGCGCATATTTGGTATGAACCATACAGATTTCCTAAGGAGAAGACATTACAAATATGTAGTAATATTGGAAGGGATAGAAATGCTAAAATAAGGGTTACTGCGCAGGTGAGCTAGTGAACGATCATAGTGAAAAAAAGCCTAGAGACATTATTGCCATTAAGAGAGAGGGTTCTTTTGTGACTGCTTGGACCTTGTCCGCCTGACTGTATGTGGAATTGACGGTTGGCATTGTTTGAGGAGTTGTGGCCCATATAAGTAAAACTTGAAAATAAATTCTGCAGGTGTTGTCCAATTTGCGTCCCTAGTTTTAAGGTTTTCTTTCACTATGAGAGATAAAACGACTGTTTCCAGCTTCTGTTTTACAGCTCTTTAATATTGTTTCAACATTATAAATAAAAAAGGCTCCCCATTGTATTTGCACTTTGCAGTGAACACACTTGGCAATTTACCTTTAACAAAAGTGTGCCATGCCTTCAATCCAACATTTTTTTCAAACCTTTAGGTGGCCACTTTTGCCACTTTATTAATTTCTGCCCTAGTCCTTTTGTTTGTGAATTACCAACCATGTTATGAATGGCTATTTTTTAACAGGTGAATCTTTTTTTTTTTTTAACCACAAGTTTAGAACAATTACATCCACTAAAAGAGAAAGCGAGTTGACTTACGTTGTCAAATTAATGTCTTCAAACGAGGGCAACATGGGTCGGGCTTCTCCACCTTTCTGGTTTTACACTTTGTTGTACCACCCAAATTATAGCAAGATTCCAGTCTGAGGGATATTTTGAAAACATTTGTTTGAACAAAACTAAACGGATCAAGAAATAGAAACTGGCATTAAAAAGCCAACTGACCCGTCCCCTCTCACACCCAGCCATGCGTTTATGCCATTTGGATGGCACATGCCTTATGTTCCAAAGCAGTTAATGGCTGCTTTGGAACGAATAGAAAATACACGCTGCAGCCAATAGCAGCACTGTGTATTTTATTTGTTTCTGTTTCACTACTTCCATGGCTTACGGCCCCTTTGCTCGAGCTTCCAGCGAGTGAGACTGGGTGGATTATCCATAAACAAAATAATCCTCTCTTTGTTTCTTCCCTTATGATGTAATGCACTTAAGCAAAAACAAATTCCTGTTGCATGCATTTTGAACTTAGTGTTTATTTGGAGTGCAAACTAGCTGAAGGGAAAGAAAGCATTTCATGGTACTTTTAAAGTTGCTTATAGTATACCCGTAAGCGTGGTCGTAGGTCATCTCCCAAGGCGATCTGTTTCCACGCACGTAGCACCTGAGGGACCAGGATGGGTGCCAGCACTTCGCACCAGGATGGTTACCAGCGGGCAGAGCCCCACTGGATGCACTACGGGTCTATCAACTTTGATGACGAAATCCCGGCCGAAGTTCTCAAGGTCGGGGCCTCGGTCGGGAAGAAGATATCGCCCGTGAGGAGGTTCTTTGCACTCCTTGCCACCTTTGATGTCTGCTTCTGCTCCTTCCTCTGGATTCTAAGTGCAATGGTGAGCGGCGCCCGGTGTTCCCTCTGGCTCCACTGGGACGTTTGCGGGGTGCACCGTTCCTCGCTCTTCGACCAGTTCAGTAAGCAACCTTTGTCTCCTGTTTTTGTTTTTTTTACAGCTGCAGTATAAGTCTGTGAAGTTAGTCTATCAAAGCGAAATCCTCAATTATGCCATGTCAAGCTCCCTGTTCGACATGGCCGTAAGTATGAACTTTCTTTGCTCCTCGTCACCACATTTTGAAGACTGGGAATTGACTTTGTAGGAAAAAACATGACGGCCGGGTGAAGAAAATATTTTCAGACTCCAGATTAACTTTTTCTCCACTGTACGTAACAAGCTTATGTTAGCTGTGGTAGCTACAGTACGTAACGGAAACAAATTGAACCGATATACCAGGAACACGTAGCCCCACGTAGAAAAAGAGAAGGCAGAGAATTCGTTTCCTTCTTGCCTCGGTGCTAGCAACATTATCGAAGAAGGGGTAAGGGCAGTTCTAGGTGAAACGGGGTAATGTGAAGTGTCAACGAGGGCGGTAAATATTTGGCGTTCAACGACGATCTGCGTAAGAGACAATGCGCCAAAATCGTGCTCGGATTAATCACGGTGCCTGGAACGTATCTCCGACTGGTGTGTTTACCGTCTTCTCTCATCCATGCATCGAAAGTGATCCGGAAGTGGCATCAAATCACGTCGCAGGAGCGGGCGTGTTGCGCCATCGAACGTCGCAATCCCGACAGTTGGTCAGAGAAATGCCGCCAAAAAAGGGCTGTCGTTGTCGCTGCGTCCCGTCCCGCATCTGTCTCAGTTTCCGTTAACCGTCCGGCTGCAGGGCTACCTGAAGCAGGACAGACCCACTCTCGAGGCCGCGGTATACGCTGGTCGAATGCACGTTCCAGGCACCGTAGACTGCGTCGCTTGGTGTACTACTTCGATCGTTCTAAATATTTAAGTGTTCGCCCGCACACGTACGGACAAGCGTTCTCTCTCTGTTGTGACGATCGTGCGGCTGCGAGAGATGGAAAGTGGCGCCGCTTTGTGCCGCTACTGACGAATGTGTGTGCCCCCCAGGTGCTGGCAGCGCTGCGGTTCCTTGTCCTGCTGCTGGCCTACATCGTGCTGCGCATGAAGCACTGGCTGTTGGTGGCCCTGATGACCACGCTGAGCGGTTCCCTGGTCATCTGCAAGACCTTCCTGTACGACTGGCAGGCCCAGCTGGCAGTAAACTCGGGGGTGCTGGCCGGGGTACTGCTGCTGGTCACCTCCTTCGTGCTGCCCTGGGGCCAGGCCTGGTTCCTTGACTTCCGGGTGGTACCGAGTGAGAACCGGGCCTCCCAGCTGCTGGCACGCATTGTCAACGACGCCTTCCCGCCCGTGCCCTCCGCTGCAGCCCGCTTGCGCAGCGAGGATGGCGGTACCTCCTTCTACTCGCCGGACAGCGGTGGGTGGCACCACTCCCCTGTGCCGCGCATGCGAGTGTATTTTTGCGCGTTCGGGGGAGCGATGTCCGCACATTTAAAAGAAGAAATCGCAGACTCACACAAGCGCAGCTCTTGCGGTCCATGTTGGGAGGTTGCTGATGGTGCGAGCTAATAGACCCCGTCGTAACATTGGCAGTCGTCGTTTCTTGGGCACAAAGTGCGCGACTGGATCGGAGTCCTTGCTAAACGTGCTCTTTCTCGACATCGGCTGAGCCGAGTTCACGCCGAACGTAGACACAGCCCTTGTATCCAATGCCTGCCCAAGTGCGTGCCCAAACTACGGCAGATTTGGACAGTTTGTGCTGCGGCTATTACATGGCGTGCACTTTCGAAGAGAGTCCAATGACGGCACCATGTGGACTTGCACGACTACCGCATCTGTGCGACTATTAGTCAACACCCAGCTTTGGCGACTGGAAAGAACAATTACCCATACCTCATTTATAAGTTAGCGTGCATTCGATGAGAAACAGTTCTAGCCGGACACGGAGTCGCAGCCGAGGTCCCACCAGGCTCACCATGAATCGAGCGCGTGGGTTGTCATCCTTCGGGGCAGGTCGCTCTGACCTTTTGCAAATGGTTTCGCAGTATCACCTGCATTGTGCCCTTTCCCAAAGATAGGCAATGTAGTTCTTCAACCGCGCTGCACGTGGCTGAACATGTCTCGGGACGGCCTGTTCTGGTGTCATCCTCGGGTTGCATGCCATTCGTGTCTACGGAATGTTGAAAACAAAATGTTAAAACTGCCAGCTGAAAAGGTAGATTAATTTTATAATCTAAAATGGAGGCAATGGACGAAAAAAGGTAACAACCAGCTCGCTCGTTTGCTCACTTTGTCTTCAATCGTTTTATAACTTGGAATCTAGGGAGCCGGTTGTTTTAGCTATAGGTCAGGGCACTATGAAATATCTAAAAAAAAGTACAGAGTTCAGGCACATATCATTTGGAGTTCAGCTAGAGCACTCATTGGGGCTTGAATGCTACTATTACTGATGCATTTTTAAGACTTTGTTTTTGTTGAACTATAAAAGAAATCTTGGTGATCTCTTTTTTTGAGAGCAGCTACAGAGTGCAGTGCATAACGAGATTTGGCTTTTCAGAACCTGCGAGATCTGTCAATGCTTGCTTCAAGGGGCATCACCAATGGTTGTCGGATGCGGAAATGGTCGCGTTCATTTCCAAGATTGTGTAGCAGGACCGAAATTACATGCTAACAGCTGTTATGTTATCATAATATATAAATTATGGCTCAGAAAATAACATTTCAATGCTTTATAATAAGGATATGCACCTTCAGAAAAACCTACCGTAAAGTTCCGAAACAACGCCTGCCCCCGAGAGATCGCCCATCCTTTTTTTTTTTGGCTAAATATCTGTAACATAAAAATTCCGAAACATCGTCCACCCCCGATTCCCGTCGGACGCCACGCGATGTGCGATGGGAATCGCATCAACCACGCAAATGAACTTGCGTCTGACAAGTAAATTCATAGCAGGTTCCCGCGCTTTAGTCTGCGAAGTGCGCGCGAGATATCAGCTCCCGTAACACGCGAGTTGTTCCCGCGTGTATGTTGCACTGTGAAATGCGAATCTACTGCATCCACAGTCTGCGGTATCCGTTAACGTGACATAGGGTTTGTAGCGGATTCCCACGTTTTTGTCCACGATCTGCGCGCACGATATCGGTTCTTGTGACCAGCATGTTTGTAGCGGGTTCCCGCGTGTTTATTGCACCATAAAACTTGCATCTGCTGCGTCTGCGATTTGCAGTATTCGTTCCCGTGAGATGCGAGTTCTCGGCGGGTTTGCGCGGGTCCTTTGCACCGTGAAATGCGAATCTACTGCATCCGCAGTCTGCGGTATCCGTTAACGAGACATGGGGTTTGTAGCGGATTCCCACATTTTTGTCCACGATCTGCGCGCACGATATCGGTTCTTGTGACAAGCATGTTTGTAGCGGGTTCCCGCGTGTTTATTGCACCATAAAACTTGCATCTGCTGCGTCTGCGATTTGCAGTATTCGTTCCCGTGAGATGCGAGTTCTCGGCGGGTTTGCGCGGGTCCTTCGCACCGTGAAATGCGAATCTGCTGCGTCCGCAACCTGCGGTATCCTTTCCCGTGACACGGGAGTTTGTAGCAAATTCCCACGTGTTTATCGCATCGTAAAACGCGAATTTGCGGTGTCCACAATCTGCGATGTCAGTTCCCGCGTCACGTGGTTTGTAGCCGGTGCCAGGGTGTTTATCATTAATTTTTGATAAGGTTTTGATGTGGCGTCCCCAAAGATAGCCCACCCCATGTTTTTCATCATTTACCTCTTCATTTGGGTGGGCATTCTTTCGGAACTTTAATTGATATTATGTACCTGCTTGTTTGACAGGGTCAGACAAGCTTCTTGATATTATGTACTTGCTTGTTTGACAGGGTCAGACAATGAGAGTTTGGGTGCAAAGGGTCTACAGCGGAGCGAGCTTGAAGTTCCCAGCGACCTCAAAGTGAGGTTTGAACCAGAAAGCTCTTCAAGGCCACTACTTCCAGAGGTGCGTGAAGATTGAGGCCTTATCAACTCAGCATACTTTTCGGGTACTTTGTGAGAATACACAAAAAATGCCACCTATTTCAATGCTTGAGGGACACTGGCATGTGTCTTTCCCTTCAAAACATTTGCTAAGGTTTCGTATGAATTTTTCTTTGTTCACTATGGATCACGGATATGACCTGGGATTGCGAAATAGCAAGGTGAAAACTGGGCTATGCAGCCGCAGTCCTTTCCTGCTCGTGTGGTAGCTTTGGCAGGGCTTTTTTCAGAGGCGCTATGCATGACAATGCTTCCACTGTTGAGGCACAAAATGCATGCCAAGTTCATCTGTGCAACATCGCAGCTGAGCGACGCACAGTATATTGTGTTACCACTGGTTTTACCATGATAGTGCAAGAAGAGGCAAATATTTTTGTGTGCAGATAGCATATTATTTAGTAAAGACACCTCTTGTAACTGACATAGTTGAGTCTAAGTGTAGTCCATATCAAGTTGTTGTACTCCATATCAAGAGTATAACTTCATTATGTTCATTTTAGGTTGCACTAAGATTTCAGACTGAACTTTTGTGAAGCAACAATTTTGCTAACCACAGCCATGGTACATAATAGTAGTATTATGAACTGCTTCACATGGCCTGAATGATGTTTGTATTGCGCTCGGCTTGTAGTAGCAACGCTTATAATGATAGTACCTCTATTTTTTCCAACAAAAACAATGTTGTAAAGTGGCAAGGGAAAAACAGCTGGACGAGCCTCGAGCCACCTAAACCAGCAATCTTCATGCGGGCACCAAAAGAATTTATAGGAAACCAAAAGATGGCATATACCAGGGTCTCAAACACACGGCCCGCGACTCGGTGGGTCGCGGCCCGCAGGAAACCGGCTAAGAGTCCCGGTTCCCATGTCTCGAGCGCACGCGCCATCGTAATCTCATCTCGCCAATTCATTTTTGCTCGAAAAGTCGCTCCGTTTTTTTAACGTATTCATATAGTTTTTACTTATATTTGTTCATTTGCACTTTGTTTCGCTTGATCGTTTGCTTCCCAGCTTTTTGTAAAGACACTAATTCTGGTACTAGGCTGCAAGGGGGAGCTCCTCATTGAAGGATGCATCTCGGATGTGCAAAGTCTAGATCAGTAGGAGCAACTGCCGAAGATGAAGTTACGAGCTCAGAATTCTCGGCTTAAAAAAATATCCCCATTAAAAGACAAGTATGGGTGTTGTAATAGAAATCTTCAGGAAAGCAAGAACTGTCAAACAACTGATTGTTTTTAGAGACATGTTGAGCTTGGTTAATTCTTGAGTGAATTGAGCAATGGGGACGACAGTGTACTTGCTCTCTTGTTCTATTAAAAATGCGAGCACGTTGGCGGGACGGTATCATTTTAATTATTGTTATCACATCAGGTCAGGGCCCAAAGTAGTCTTTTAAACAAATCAAACGTAAAATTGGCACTGGCAAAACTGAGTTTACAAAAAGCATAGAGCACGAGGTGTATTCTGTTTCAAATCTTTTGAACCCCCCTCTCTCTCTCTCGCCGCCTTCCCCCCCCCCCCCCCCAACTTTGGCCCCCGGCCTTCCCAGTGTCGGCGATCTGGCCCCCATGCTCAAATGAGTTTGAGACCACTGGCATATACAATACATAAATGAAAAAACAAATTATAGAAGTAACTCTTTACACGAGAAGTAGCATATAGATGCAATTTACACAGTAGTGAAAGCATATGCAGAAAGTTAGAACCTCACTGAAATAAACGCGAAAGAAAACATCAACTCACAGAATTTAGCTCATGTCGCATACAATTTGGTTTGAAATAAACATTTTCCATAAGAATGAATTTGGTGTGCACTATTACTTTTAAAGACTCAATATTCAAGCATGCAAAGACTTACGAGTGTGTGTGTTGCCTTGCAGGAACGAAGCTACAAGCGCAAGGCAGAGGAAGCGCTAGACATTGCCTTGAAAATATTCCACGAAAGCAACTGGAAGACGGAGAAAATGGACCACGAGGGCGCTATTCAGACGTGCCATCACTCAGAGTTTGGAAAGGTCTACAAGTATGCGGTGGGTGCTCTTCATTTGGAGACCAGTTTAGGGAAGTGCTGAGGCAAAGATCAAGCTAACAGTGTCACAGATCACTGCAACAAATGGGAGAACTAGAGTATTGGTAGTGAGATGGCCTGATAGCAACCATGAATGGGTGCTTTCATTACATAACAGCATTAAGGCCTGTTCACACTCTTGTGACCTCTTAGAACTGGGTGCCTTGAAACCTCTTACAACGAGAGGACACCCTGGCGCCATCTATTGGGTAGCATTGTAAACTTGGCGGTCCGGCATATTTTCTATTTCTCTCGCGCATTATCCTTTCTTTCTTGGCTCGAAAAACTTTTGTCAACGTTATAAACGAGCCTTTCTTGTAGGTGTTATGCACGTTTGACCTCGGAAATCCCGCAAAACCTTTGCTCTTGTGAAATGCAGTTCCGGGGTCACTGCGTAGATGGCGCCAGAGTGCCAGTGTGTTCCCTCTTCCTAAGAAATTTGAAGAGGTTTCAACAAGTCTCGTCTCTCTCGGTCGTACTCGGTTGCAAGAGTGTGAACGGGCCTTTATTATGAGGGTGCCTTCAGTGCAATGCTGCCGAATGTGCAGGCTTTGAAAACTTTTTTGGCTGTGTCCGAGCACCCCCTGAAAAACTTTTTCGTATGACATCCTGCCTCACATTAATATACTCTTTAGTGTTCAAATTAAGTAAAAATAAAGCTGGAAATATTACACTCGTTTTTGACAGCCTTCTTTTACAAACGTGCCCAAAGTTTTCGAAGAAAACACAAAAAAACAATTTATTAGTAGTTACTTAAGAATCCATGCAATTAATCATCTTCCGAGTGTCCTTTTAACGCATTCCATGTGCTCTTCCGTTACTTTTCTTGAAGGGCATACTGTTCTGACGTCGCTTGAAGCCAGATATCCATTGTTGCTTCATTCGTGATTGCTGGGCTAACTTGAATTTACTTTGCTGCAGTCTGCCATAACATATTAATATTTCGAATAAAAGTTAGCTATAACTTTCAGAGAGGTGCTAAAAATTGCATAAACAAAGCGAAAAAGAAAAAAGTCTGGTCCCTATGATGTTGTTTCTACATAGAAAGTAGTATGCCCTGCTATGCTCTGTTTAAATGTAAATGCATGTTTTTTTTCATGTCAAGCTGAATTTGAATATTTTGCATAGGGTAGGATTTCAGGGCACAATTAAGAGTAACCAGTACTATTGGTGACCCCGAATTACGGTACATGCCTGCCGTTTATCAATGACATTGTGGTCTGAAACTATGGTTTCCTTACCTCGGGCATAGTGCATGCTGACGTATCAAATGCCTTTCAGTAAACTTCACCAGATGTCACTGAGGTTTTATCTAGCGTGGCTTTTTCATAGTGTCACTGACCGCCTGTGATCTTCTTCTGGACAGGGTACCCTGCCAGCGGCTCCCGAGACCATTTTAGATATTTTGTTCAATCGGCTAGAGGAACAAGTTTTGTGGAACCCGAACGTCAAAGAAGCCAGGGTAGGTCTATGTCAAATGCCTTACTCCTTCAGCAGAAATATTTAACATGTGTCACATTTCTGTCTTATTGTAAGCAAAAATTGTATCGGACTACATTTAAAAAATTGAGACTCCAAATCCACGCTGGGAAGGTTGTTGGCCAGTGAAGCTGCAACAATTGCCCACTGCACTATAGACCCTTTTTATAGCAAACGTCACCAGGTGTTGCTCCAGGACGTCCCAGAGAACTTCCGGTTTATATAAAGAATGAACCAAGGTCACCTTAACACTGCTGCTTGAAATGTAGACGAAACGTTTAACCACCAATTCCCCAAGTGAACGCCAAAAGAACAAAGGAGTGCGAGATATATTACAAATTTTCGAATATTCTAGTAAACCATCTTGTGTCCTCCAAGATGTAATATTGTACAGCCGAAGGCCCTTGTTAAATCTCCAACTTTGTTGTCCGTGTAGCATTTATGCTTTCTAGCACTGGTGACATAAGCAAGCTCAACAGGCTTGGAAAGACGGTGCAACCGGAAGTTGATATGGATGCAAGAGGCAGTTCATGTTTGTAAACAGCAAAAGGGTCTATACCAAATGATTGACAAAAAAAAAGTAAATGCACTGTAACAAACTTTTTTTTTTATATGAAAGACTGTGTACTACTGTTGCTGTGGCAGCTTACGCAACTGCAATCTTTACTGAGAAATGCATGCGGGGAGCGCTATGTGCTTGGCATTGTTAGCGGGGCTAGTGACGCCGCTGCCCACTTCATACTTTGCCGTTGCCGCGGCTTATGCTTATGCGACCACAGCCTTTACCGAGAAATGCAGGGGGGGCGCTACGTGCTTATCATCTATTACCTGGTTTTGAAACTTATTTTGTGGTTTTCTTATTGAAGCAAGTGTCAAAACCACATATGAGATAAGGCGCCCGTGATGGTTTTCTGTCAACGGAAAAACAAAAAAACCTGACCAATGAGTCATATACAGCTTCAATGTAAAAGATATTGTCAGGAAGAAAGAAGAAGCGGGGCTGAGATGGAGTGCGCGTGCTGAGCTCTCTCGGATCTGCATCGAACGGTCACCGTGGACGCACCATCTTAATCAAACTTCATTCATTGTATTAAACCCATCCATCCATCCAGAGCCTTACAGGTTGGTGGAGGTCAGCGGTTTCCTACCCCTCGCCACACCTCGCCACCCCCGACCCTGGAGCTACGCAGTGGACAGACCACCCAACGCCCGCCCATGGCTAACCAAGAAGGTAACACAACCGTAACCCGATCTACACCCGCTGTGACTATAAAACATCGACAGCGAGACCCTCAGATATTCACGGGCTCTCCTGACTCAGACGTGGATGACTGGCTGAAGAACTACGAGCGCGTCAGTCAACACAACGGATGGGACGACTCCTTCAAGCTCGCCAATGTGGTCTTCTTCCTCAAAGACACATCGCTCCGATGGTTTGACAACCACGAAGAAACCATCGATTCTTGGGACGGCTTCAAAACCGCGTTTGCGGACGCTTTTGGTCAACCCGAACACCGCAAAGAGAAGGCTCGAGACCAACTACAACACAGGTACCAGTCCACAGCAGAATCATCAACCGCCTACATCGAAGATGTCCTCCGACTGTGTCGCCGAGTCGACCCCGAGATGAGCGAAGATGACAAGATCCGCCACCTATTCAAAGGGCTCTCACAGGAATTATTTTCCATCGTAGCCCCCAAGTCTCCGCCGACCGTAGCTCAACTCGTGTCTGAATGTCGGAAGTACGAAGAGCTCGACAACGCGCGAATACTCAAGAGGCCGTTCGAACGCCTTCCTGAGGTGTCTCTTGCTTCGCACACCGACACAAACCTCTCGAACCTGATACGTACAATCATCCGCGAAGAACTAAGATATTTTCTTGGGCAGCAGCGCACACCTTTGCCTGCATCCCAGCCATCCAATGAGCGCCACGACATCAAATCAGCTATCCGAGATGAACTTCGCTCTGCTTTAGAGCCCCTGACGCACAGCACTCCCCCCTATGCCCCCGCCGCACACCCGCCAACACCCCTGTGCGCATACCAGCAACTTCCCCTTTCCTATGCACCACGACCGCGACAATCTCCTCAAACACGCCGTCAAGCCGATGTCTGGAGGACCCATGACAACCGACCAATATGTTTTTATTGCCACGTTCCCGGCCACGTCCTCCGCTACTGTCGGCGCCGATTAAATGATACAAGCCCCCCATCCATGCTCCCTTCTCGAGACCGCAACACCTTCGAAGGCCACCATCCTTCTTATGATTACCGGCAAGTCGATAACTCGTCTTTTCGCCGCTTCTCACGACCCTACGCCGACAACACTAACACTGGAATCGTTTCTCATGACCGCTCAACCAGCCCCGCCGCGCAACCTTCACCCCGGCGTGGTCGCTCACCGTCGCCCTACCCTCGTCGTCACCGCTCTATTTCCCCATTCACTGATCCCATCCCTCCGACGTCTCAACAGTCAAACTAAAAACCGCAGCCTGCATCGACAATGGAGGTCAGGCTGCATCTCAACAATATCCGAAAAACCCTCCTTCTGCGGGACCAACGAATTTGAATGTGGAAATTGGACATCAAAACTTTCTTGCTTTAGTCGACACTGGCGCAGCAAAGTCGTGCATTCCCGAGAACGTCCGTCGACACTTGCGAAAAGTCCTCACGCCCCCATCTGAGGGCCACCTGCTCCGCATGGGCAATGGTGATTTGGTGCGCCCTCTCGGATACTGTACAGCGCACTTAAGGATTGGTGACAACCGATACATTGTCATGTTCACTGTACTTACCACCTGCATCGCTGACGTCATTCTTGGTTGGGATTTTCTTTCTTCAACCGCCGCCTTCATCGACTGTGAAAATCGTGAAATTCATCTGAATTCTTCAGTCGACATCCGGGAACATATTGAGACCCCACTGACCGTCCTTCATATAGACTATGACCTGTTGCTGCCACCTCACTCGGCCGTTGCTGCCACTCTCATGGTTCCGAATTCAGTCAATGAAACCTTCGGACTCATTGAACCTATTCATGCTACGTTCACAAAGAAAGGAATCGTCATACCTTATTCTCTTGCCTCCATCGCAGGAGATAAATGTAACATCTGGATCACCAACACTTCAGTCCAGTCGCAGGTACTTCCTCGAGGCAGTCGCATCGCCACACTCCAGATGCATATTGAGGAAAGTTTCGCTACACTTGTCCCTACTGCTGCAAATACCAAGTCCCTCACCGACAATAACTTCACCGAACACAGACATAAGATGATAGACGGAGCTCTCCTCCCAGACCAACTTCAGAAATTGGACTCTCTACTCCACTCTTACGAAGATATTTTCGACTTCAGCGCCCAAACATTAGCCCGAACGATGCTTGTCGAACATAACATTGATACCGGTAACTCACACCCACTTCGAAGCCGACCGTACCGAACCTCTGCCGCAGAGCGTCGAATAATTAAACAACAAATTGATGACATGCTAGAAAAAGGAGTGATCGAGCCTTCGTCCAGTCCTTGGTCGTCCCCCGTCGTCCTTGTTCGAAAGAAAGATGGCACCTGGCGCTTCTGTGTGGACTATCGCCGCCTGAACAAAGTCACGGAAAAAGACGTCTACCCCCTGCCACGAATTGACGATACACTCGACACGCTACAAGGCTCGTCCTACTTCTCATCAATGGACCTTCGAAGCGGTTACTGGCAAGTTCCTCTTGCCCCTAGTGATAAACCGAAGACCGCCTTTATAACGTATAATGGCCTTTACCATTTTAACGTCATGCCTTTCGGGCTTTGCAATGCGCCTGCCACATTCGAGCGCATGATGGATGCTCTACTTCGTGGCTTATCTTGGAATATTTGTATCTGTTATCTCGACGATATTGTGGTCTTTTCTCCAACATTTGAGGAACACATCTCACGACTCCGCACAGTTCTTGAATGCATTCGTACTGCTGGACTCCAATTGAACAGCAAAAAGTGCACTTTCGGCGCCCAGGAAATTAAAGTGCTCGGCCATATAGTCAGTGCCGATGGAGTACGCCCAGATCCTGAGAAGGTACGGGCCGTATCAGAATTTCCTGTTCCACAAAACGTCAAACATGTGCGGACATTTCTAGGCTTATGCACCTACTTTCGAAAATTTATTTATCGATTTTCTCACATTGCTGAACCTCTAAATCAACTGCTACGCAATGGCATCTCTTTTCGATGGGGCCCAGATCAACATACGTCATTCGAACACTTAAAAAATGTGTTGACCACAGCCCCTGTTCTTGGTCACTTCGTCGAACGTCAGGACACCGAAATTCGAACCGACGCGAGCGGAGAGGGAATAGGTGCTGTTCTTGCTCAACATCACTACAACCAGCAGCGTGTCATCGCATATGCTAGCCGAACCCTCACCAAAGCCGAACGCAATTTTTCAACAACAGAAAAGGAATGCCTAGCAGTCATCTGGGCAATTTCCAAATTTCGTCCTTACTTATATGGATCATCCTTTCGTATTGTCACCGACCATCATGCGCTATGCTGGCTTGCCAGCCTAAAAGACCCATCAGGACGCCTTAGCCGCTGGTCCTTGAAACTCCAAGAATACCGCTTTACCGTTGTATATAAATCAGGCAAGCGACACCTCGACGCCGACAGTCTATCTCGGTGTCCTCTCCCCAACAACGCGCCCCTTTCTTATGAGCATCACACAGCAGACACTACGGCAACCCTTCATAATCTCGACATGGCATCAGCGCAGCTCACTGACAATTCTCTCAGGCCACTGATCCATTACTTGCAAGGTTCCACAACATCTTGCCCTCAGTATGTTCACCGACGTGCCCGCCTCTTTTCTCTTCGAGATAACGTTCTCTGCAGACGCAACTACGAACCCCAAGGACGGCAATGGCTTCTCGTAGTACCCCGTCACCTACAAACAAACATAATCCAAGCTCACCATGACGATCCCACAGCCGGGCACCTCGGATTTTCTAAAACGTACTTTCGAATTCGTGACAAATTCTTCTGGACCGGCATGCAGCGAACAATTAACAAATATGTGCGAGCCTGCCACTTATGCCAAACCAAAAAAAGACCCACACAACCGACTCGCGGACCTCTCCGGCCAATTTCTCCACCCCGCCAACCGTTTCAACGCATTGGAATTGACTTCCTTGGCCCTTTTCCTCAAACAAAAGCAAGAAATCGCTGCATAATTGTAGCAGTTGACTACCTGACACGATACGCCGAAACAAAGGCGCTCCCGGCAGCGACAGCCCTTCATGCAGCAGATTTCTTTCTATACAACATTCTTCTAAGACACGGCGCTCCTCAATCCATTATCACGGACCGAGGAACACCCTTCATGGCGACCCTTCTTCAAGAAGTATGCCGCCTCGCAAGCACGATTCATCATATAACCACTGCCTACCATCCACAAACGAATGGTTTGGCAGAACGACTGAATCACACCCTAGTCGATATGATTTCGATGTACCTTACAGATGACCAGGATAATTGGGACGATATTCTGCCATACATAACATATGCCTATAACACCAGCCGGCAGGCTACTACAGGATATTCACCCTACTATCTTTTATATGCACGGGAACCGATGTCCACCATTGACACGCTCTTACCGTACATTGATGACACTTCTCTCGACACATACCTCCAAGATGTCCTTTCTCATGCTGAAGAAGTTCGACAGCTCTCACGCATCCGCACCCTGCAATCTCAACAACAACAGATCATTCGTCACGACGAGCACCACCCTCCCGTCTCCTACAATGTTGGCGACGAGGTTCTTGTCTGGACACCTTCTCGTCAGACTAGAAGGTGCCAAAAACTTGAAAAACGCTTCAAGGGCCCATTTCGAATCTCTCGTAAGCTGTCCTCCACAAACTACGAAATCACACCTGTACATCCACTGCACCACCACCACTCTAAATCAACCGATATCGTCCACATTGCGAGACTCAAACCCTACTACCGTCAAGTCCCATAACATCTGCGGCCGGTGGACCGGCCTTTTCCCCCGAGGGACGTATACTGTCAGGAAGAAAGAAGAAGCGGGGCTGAGATGGAGTGCGCGTGCTGAGCTCTCTCGGATCTGCATCGAACGGTCACCGTGGACGCACCATCTTAATCAAACTTCATTCATTGTATTAAACCCATCCATCCATCCAGAGGCTTACAATATCCATTGGCAGAAATTCTAGTTATCAGAAGACTGATTTAAAGACATTGGGAATCAAGCAAACATTTGGCAAAGTTGGCCACTTTTTTTTTTTTTGGCATATACATTTTGTCTTAGGCATCTAAGTGCCTACAATATTTACAGGTGGGGCAACTGTCAGTGATTGATTTCCCTACACACCCCCTAGGGGGGTGTATATCCCCCTTGTTTTTTTGAAGGCAACCCCTTAATCCGCAACAACTCCTCTATTCTCAATGCCCCTCCCCAACCCAAACCCCCCCCTCCCAAAAAAAAAATAAATAAAAATAAAAAAAAATTAAACATTTTTCCTAATTTCAATTCCTGGGGAAATCCCTGATAACTGTAACTCATAGTTGTGGCACTGTAAAATTAATAAATAGGCATCCTAGCTGTTAAAGATGTGGGTTACAACCAGATATTGCCAATACTAGTAGGTTATTTTTGTGCGAAGAGCTTAATGAGGATCCATGTTCAGGAGATCGCACTGGAGCACTGAATCCACATTTGGTCATTGTCTGTTGTTGAGATTACTTCTAGAAACAGCTCGTCCAGTGATAGTTGTGGGCCTTGCTTGGTTTCTATTCCTTTGGTGTTTAAGTTCTTCCTGTGTTTTTTTGCAGGTTATTGAGAGCATAGACAACCAGACTGACATTGTTTATGTGCTCTCAGAGGGTGCCAAGGGTGTAGTGTCTTGTAGGTAAGCAAAGACTACATAAGGTTCATTTCACTATTGAGGTACTTTGAAAATCCTCTTATTGCTTAGCTACCTAAAAAAAGCTTATTTTGAAGTGAGAGTGGGCTGTGCAAGTAGTTTTAGTACACATATAAGGAGGAGAAAGCTTCCTTGGTGCTGTAATGCTATCCTCTTCGATAGAATTGACGTCATTTTAAACCCCCCAAAAATGGAATGGATTCAACAAGAATTACGCCATTTACATAACATTTTCAAATGGTTAGTTTATTAATAGATAGTACAGTTGCAATCTTTATGAAGGTGAAAATGAAATCATCAATCGCTCCCTACTGGCAGCACCATAAAGCAACGCCCATGGTGGTATGTGCGCTTTGCAACCAAGGGGCAAAGCCAGGCTTGCAAGCTGCCATGGCCGCCGCTCATGGCACTGCCAGTATGGAAGGTTGATGATTAGGTTCTCACCTTTATATGGATTGCAACTGTACCACTAAATGATGAATGATGATACATATAGTATTATTTTTGCTAACAAAAAATGCCTCCAATAAGACAACAAGTTGAGTTTTCCATATTTAACATCCCTGCAATCATGGACGATGCACATGTTTAAGTTATCGGTGGCATATTGGTATTTCTTACAACATCATGGAAGAGTGAATGCACTTGAATCTGGTTTGCTTGTTTTCACAGCTGTGTTCCTTGTTCACTCTGGAATTCTTGTTTACGATTAAAATTATTTCTCTTTGGGGGGGGTGACATAATGCCACCACTTTCTTCGATGGTTCTGCATGCTTTAGATTCTGAGATTGACTGGTACATGTTGTGAAGAGAGTGCGGTAGAAGATTGCATGCATGCAGCAATTCTCTACTGCACTCTACTGGTCAGAATGGTGGTGAAAGCTTGTAGCTTGCGTGTCATCCTGTTTCTTTTAATTGTGTGTGACTCATCTTGATGCCTAGCTTTCTTAGAAAAACTGACACTAGTCAACGAGTACATTGAGCTTCTGATGCATTCAGTGGCATATCTAGTAAATGTTTTCAGGGTGGAGGGGGCTGAGGTGGCTGGCACGTTCCTGACTTGGAATGTGGAGAGGGGAAGGGAGGGTCAAGATGCATATGTATATTGTAGGATCGACTGGATTGTGATGGGGGGCTGAAGCCCCGTAAGCCACCCCCCTGGCTATGCCGCTTGATGCATTCTCTTTTACATAATCTTTTGCACTTCCTGTTCCAACCAGTAGCAGCTATATAGCAGGCAGCTTGCATGTCATGTTAGTTTTGGAGCACTGGAAGAATTTTATTTTCAAATGGGATCTCTCAATTGCAGAGGATAAATTTTTTTCTCGCAGTCATTGCTAAAGGCAAAATAGTTTTGTTATTTTCAATCCAGTGACTGGGGTGTCACTCTTGGCAGACCAACCAATTTGCAAGCTTCATCTTAAGCTCTTACTATAATTTCTTTGGTTTTTTGAGTCTAATGGAAGTTGCATATTTGTACTGTTAAACACAGTTGGGTTTATTGTTGGTGTTAGTTCGTCTCACTATTTTTTGTTGCCTCACTGTTTCTTTCCAATCCACTTTGTTCGCCAGAGATTTTGTAAACTTGAGGATGTGGCAGAGGCGAGGTGAATCCTACTTGCTCTGCGTCATAGGCTCGGAGCATGTCAACCAGCCACCGAAGAAAACTGTTGTGAGGTGTGCAACATTTGTTTATAACTTTGTTTTCTGATGTGTTTTGGCTTTAATCTTTTCTTTCTATTGGCAATATGGAGTGTATAAGAAGCTAACATTTGTCACAAAGAAGAATGTGTTCTGTTTCACCGGTGGACAGCAGCAGCAGTCGCTACGAGTCGTTAGACTCATGTGATCTTGTGCTCAATGTATCTCTGCACTTGATTGGAAAGTCACACTGCCCATTCTAGGTGCTTAAATGAGCTTGGCTGACTTATAGCATTTCCTGGGGTCTATTTAAACATACCTATGAGGTGCAGTCAAATAATCTGCAGTGATGTCAAAGCGATATCTGTGACACGTCACGGCGAAGTCGTTGGGCATCGGTGTCGCATTCACGCACCGTGGGGCGCTTGAACAAAAGCGTTCGGAACAAAATAGACACCGAACCAGGCACGTAGCCAGGATCAGGGTGTAAGATAGACAGGTGGGGAAACTGCCCATAGAAACCTACCGCGCCGCCGTGACCGGATTGTGTACTCGTCTGCTTGCGGGAGGCTTGCGGGTACCCCCGATTGGCGACAGATGGCGCTGCGGCGAGAAGAAAAAAATTGGAATCGAATTTGCATGGAACTCTATGGGAGAGTGCGCAAAATAAACTGAGAGCACGACAGTCCTCCGTTGAAAATACACGAGAAACCTTCTCCGTCAGTTTAGCCAGTCGCCACCGGTCTCGCACCCGGAGTGAGAGTTCGCGGTGCTCCACATAGATGGCGCCACAGAAAAAGAGAAAACCGAGGGGGACACAATCCGGTCGCTCATTTGGCTCTCGTTTCACCACCTGTCTATCTTACACCCTGGCCAGGATTTTGTTTTGGGGGGGGGGGGGGGGGGGGGGGGCCTGCCCATGACAAAATGCTGTAGGAGGGGGAGGGGGGGAGAGGAGGTCGCAGCAAAGTGGAAGATTTTTGGGGTGGGGGTCCAGGGTTTCCTCTGTTTTGCATTATTATAGTTCCCAAAAGGGATATATCACGTTTTTGTGTCACTCTTTTCAAAATTCTGCAGGTGCCTATTTTTAATGCAAACTATTCATAAGACATTCATGTGATCTTTTTTTTTTTCAAGGGGGGAGCAGGGACCTCTGCTCTACATGCTAGCACCGTCAGACAGCGAGACACATCGCAGCAAATTCCAATGGCTGCTAAATGTGAATCTCAAGGTAATCATTATTGTGGTGTTTATTTCTATTTTGAGCCATGTTCACTTATAATACTGATAAAGAAAGCACTAGTGGTACAAACACGGGGACCACCAATATTTTCTATGGAATTGATCTTACCGTACACAGTGTCTGCTGTATATGGAAGGAAATAATTACCAATGCAAAATTTCCCGCAGCACTTGATATCAATACTACTACATGCAATGCAGCGGGAGTTGCAGGAAATATTGGCAGTATATAATTAGTTACAGTTAAATCCTTCCAGCACATTAATACCTAATGCCAATATTTAACAAAACTAATGAGAAGTAGTAATGCAACTCATTAAAGGAACCAAGCTTGTGACAAACATTCAAACTACGAACGTTCCAAATGTCTTCGAAGTCCAAGCTTTCTGAAAAACTGGTAACATGCAAACCCTTAAACTTAATTAGTCAAACTAGACGAGCTTGAAACTTTTGATCTGGTCTTGTTGAGAAGCTTGAGAAATGCTGCACTGAAGTGAAGGCAGTTTGACTCTTGTGTATAAGAAGGGGACTGAGAATCTGTCATATCTCCCCTGAACGAAGAGTGCTATTCTAAATTTGCTGCTTACAGGCTAGGGTGCAGTCCCGAGAACATCATGCTTAATGGTGTCCCGCCCCCGAAAGATAACCCACCCCCATTTTTCAAAAACACCATAAGATGGCCCACGTCTAGTGATAGCAGGGCCCAGGACAATGGTGACCTCGGCAGAAATGGTGTTACGTAGCAACTGCGGGAGATAAGCGAACGTCACTGACAGGGAAGGAGTCTTTCGTTCATTTCCCTTCCCTGCGATCACAAGTTTTGCGGGTCGCAAAATCTAAAACTAGCATTTTTGACAACTTTTTCCATCACACGCCTAAAGTTAGCCCACTCCTTATTTTCACCCGATTTGCTTTCGATTTTATGTGGGCTGTTTCTCAAGGTATTACATACTACGGTGTAATCCTTGGATTGTTCATGCATCATATGCATGAGCACACTATGTGTGCAAAGCACTGTTACTCCATGAATGAGCCACTAGCTAATGCATTGGTTGCAACCCCCCCCCCCCCCCCCCCCCACCCCACAAAAAACAAAAAAAAAATTCCATGTTTAGTAAATGGTTTAGGGGATGCATTTTCATGATGCACAGCACATTTGATTTAAACTGTATATCTTCTTTTTTTTTTCATTTCATGTAAAGACCAAGAGATTCAGTGTGCTTGAAGTATCTAAGCTATTTCTTCTTGCAGGGATGGCTTCCACAGTACATCATCGACAAGGCAATGGCAAAGAGCATGCTGGATTATGCAGATGCCTTGAAAACTCATCTCAATAGTCTTCCCAAGCCAGATGACTTCATCTAGAAAGTTTTCATGCCTTCAGGGACTCAAATCTTCAAGCTGGTATTTTTGTTTTTTTAATGAAAGCTGTGAATAAAGCTTTTGTGATAAATTTTTTAAGTGGGGGTGCTGTATTGTTGCTGCTGTACTCTATATAAATTGGTCTTGCTGAACAGACAATAGAACTTTTGTGAAACTACTGAAGTGCCAACGAGCGTGCTGCAATTGTACTTATAAATACAATTAATCTGCTGGTGTTGTCTGCAGCAGCAACTGTTCTAAAACAAATGGCACTTTGCTTTATTTTAGTCATTTACTTTGAATGTATTTAACAGATAAGGCGAGTATGTGCAGCACATGTACCTACATTCCCAGCAAGCACTTGGTGCTCGAATAATTTGTCAAAGGGTCTACTGCCATCAGTCCATAGGCAGAGGGAAGTTATCAATTTACTGGGAAAGAGGCGGGGGGTGGAGCCCGACAAGCCCCTGCCCCCCCCGTATTCTGTGCCTATGCATCAGTTATTCCAGGCAGTAGAAGTCATTGGGCACCCAAAAATTGAACTGGCTTAGTGAAGGTCTTGCACTAGATTACAGTTGCCCTGCATAGCATAGCGGCTAATAATAAGAATGTAGAGAGAAGAGCAGAAGGCGCAAGATTAGAGATGGTGAAGTTTCATGGGTGCTTGCACCATTAATTCGTGTAGCAGACAAAAAAAACGTGCCAAAGACATGCAAGACTGCTTACATGTAGGAATGCGAAAGCATTCCTACAAGTAGTGCGCCAAGTCGTCTTTTTTGACACGGCGCTCCAGCGGTGACATTATGCTCCCCCACTGCGCAGGGGCGGCGACACCGCAGACTCCACGGCTTCCGTGACGAAGCATCTGCATTGCTGTGCTTTTCTTTGTTTTATTTCTGAGGTGCGTCCGCTTTAACCTCGAGTGTTCCCACCGGCTTCCACGACGAAGCAACTGCGTTGCTGTGCTTTTCTTTGCGTTTTATTTCTAAGGCATGTCCGCTTTGGTCTTGAGCGGCGCGTGCTTGATGACATTGGTGCAACCATCTTTTGGGCACAACGCCACCACCTTTTCAACTAAAAAAAAAATACAAAGCTTTTGCCTTAAAAAAAAAAAGGCAATTTGGGCGTCTGTTTTCATGGCGCAAGGTCAGATTTAGTTTGGTTCCCGGAACACATCTATGACTGGTGCGCTTACTGCGTCCTAAAATGTGGCTCCCGATCTCTGCTCGACGTCGTCGCAGAGGTGTCGCATTACCGGCCACAACCCTGGTGGCGTTGCAGCAGTGGTGGTGCGTGTGGCAGATGCCTGTTCTGCTGCAGGTCCTCCAGCGGCAGCTAGGAGTTGCAACGACGGCCACACTTGCATTCACTCATACTTTTTGCCAGAGCTTGTGCAGCCAACAGTCAGCATCACAACATCCGACGGCTTATAACACTTCGGGTTTTGCAACGTCCTTCGCTGCTGCACTTGGGGACTACCTTTCGATGTGTAGGCTGAATAAGACGCTAAACACTCCAGTTGGAAACTCGTTCCGGGCACCACTGTTTTAGGGTGCCTTTGTATGCACATTTGTATGATAATCAACCATTTTCTGTCGTGGTACTATACTTCGTTTCAGCTTCGGTCCAGACGCAGCCGGTGCTACAAGCGCGAGCATGTGGCCCAGAACAGTGCTTGCACTGCACGAGCGCGCATGCTTGGCAGGGATGCTGAAAGCCCAGAGCTCGCGCTTGTAGCTTTGGCTGCGTCTGGACCGAAGCTGAAACGAAGTATAGTTTCTTCTTGCCTTGGAGCATGTGAAATTCTCTCCCATACACATTGACTGCTAGGCTGTTTCCTGCAAATTCTTCGTATTTCCTCGCGAATGCATGCCGACGTCATTGAGTACACTTCTATAAAGAGCAGCATCGCCCTAAGAAAATTAAGGCACCCTGGTCAGTCTGCCATTGAGGTTTAGCGAAGCAGATTTATACTGAGGATGAGAAATTTAGGCAGTGCAGCGAGACTGCTGGCCTAGGGCCTTAACACACTCGTGCAGTTGTGATACACAAACTCATGGCATGTTAAACTGAGGCCCACGATGGTAGCTTTTGCTGCTACAAGGTTTGCTGGATAAAGAGGATTGCTATGCTCCACTTTAGCTTGGAGCCCAGCAAAGGCTAAATGTGCAAAGCCAATGCTGTGGAAGGCAAGATTCAGCATGCTAGGCAGCTTCCAAAGCTGTACTTGTGCCTCTAGCCATCCTGTGTTCTGTTCCAGTAGTGTACACACAATGACCTTTGGGAGCACAAAGTAAATGGCATATGACCAGGGAAATCTATGGCTAAACAAAAGCACAACAGCATTACTTGAGGCCACTAGGTGCTCATTTATGCAATGTCGGCCTGGGCTCTTAAGCGTTGCGGGGTGTATTCCAAGCATGACGAGGCTGTTGGTATCAAAAGAATGCAGCAGATGGCCTCAACCTGTGCATAGCAGTAGAGCTCAATAAGTTTTTGTTAAGTACAACCGTTTATTTCACAAGAGTTTAAAATGAACTACCTCCTGTATGTTTGTACAGCACTTCAATAATCGGAACAGCTTCATAGAGAGATATGTACTGAAAGCAGATTAGTTGCACATGTAAAAGAAAATTTTTTTATGAGACCAGTTTCTTGTAGATTACATGCTGCATAAGTTAAACATGGCATACGTCAACTTCAAGATGATTCATTCAGCTCTTGGATGCTGCAGCTGCTTGCTGGGCTACAAATGTTGCTTGAAGTTTCTTGTCCATTGTTTCAACTATTGCTATAAAAAAGAAAGAAAAGGGTGACCATCCGGGAACGACACAATGCTGCTGAATAAGGCAACTGTTACCAACCTTCCCTCAGTGCCACTTTCTCTTGGGCAACCTTCTGTATCTTCTCCATTTGCTCAGTGACATACTTCACCCTCCTCTTGAAGTAGTCTTTCGACGCAGAGATGTCCTAAAATAAGAACAGTTTTGTTACAAGCATTTTTTGCTATTTTTGGTTAGAAATAAACCACACTTAACATTTGCAACCATACAAAAACCATAGTACTTTAGTTTCAGAAACTGGACAGTTGTCTGCCCGATTTGGCACAGGGGCTAATGCAGCCCATAATTTTTAGCAGTGTTTGTGGTGACATTGCTCTGAGTTTTGAGTTCATTCTTGTTGATGACAATAATATTAATGACCTGTGGTTACAATGCAAGCCTACAAAAAACAAGCACCTGTATCACCTTCCCATTCACTGCATGTAGCAAGGAAAGCATCTGACTAATGCAGGCTATTTGTTTGGGGTCTGGCCAAATAAGCTCTTACCTGGCCAGAGTATTATGTTTGCTTGAAGTGCATGTTCGCTACGGAAGGCCACTGAGAGATTTACCTATAATGAAGTAATGAGTCTCGCCAGTGCATTACAGAAACCGCAGGCCTCACTGGAGTGATTTGCGATGAAGAGAATGCAGACTGCTTAAAATGCTTCGAGTGTATCCAATGAACCCAGGTCCAAGCAATAGCCAAATGTAGATGCAAGTAACCCACATTTGGGACGATAATCGTTCAATTTTCAAACCTACCTTATTAATTCTTACATCCAATAGAGATGCAAAATATACAGAAATGAAAAGAACAGTTTGAAACCTCAGAGATGCTCCACACAGACGTATTGGCAGTGGGAACCAGGTAAGTCGTTTTTACCTCGCGAGATCGTCATGATGACATAATCACAATTTTCCGGCAGCGCATCTGTAGTTCCACAAGTCACTGTTGTCTGTGGGACTCCCTTTCTCTCCCTATTTTACTACTATAACACCCTGCCCCCAGTAAGCCTGACTGAATGAAATATATATTGCCAAGGGATTGTCCTCCTTAAACCCACTGACGGTAGAGTTTTTTTTTCCCCCAAAAGAGGTTTCCCAGTGGTCATGTTTTGTTTCCAAACAAATAGTTAAAAAAAAAGTCAGTGAACAGTTCTTTTCTTTTATTATCATCTAGTGGGAGCACGTAAATTTCTCGCAAGCTGTTCTCGCAAGCTGTTTAGGCTTAGAATAAGTAAATGAAAATATTGAAGGCGGAAAGTTGTCTTATTTCTTCCATTCTAAACATTCCAGCGGCTTTAGATTCCTGACCGGAGGTACTTTACAAAGCTTCTCCGTCGGATGATGAGCTCGTCTTCTGAATTAAATTCCTAGAAGTGTTGGAAGCCTGAATCGGAAGAGCCAGTGCTCCCATTGGCACTACCGCCAGAGCAGCTGGTATGCAAAGTGAGAAGCATGTGTGTGGAGCGTCTAATTTGAAAGCTATAAATAGCTCAGCAAAGCGGAACATCGTGTGAATACAAATGCTTATAGTTAGCCAAAGGTATAACAAATAGCAACACCTCCCGCAGTGCACGCAGTTTCGCATTTAGGCGGGAACTTTCAAATGGGTAATCACTCCCAGATATTTGTACTTGCCCACCATATCTATCTCTATGTTCTGCACCTTTAAAGAATGCCCCTTGATGCCGCTGAAAAACATAATTCTAGATTTCATTTGGCTGAATTTAAATCCAAGAACGTCCCCTTCCACGCCACAGATTACAATTAATTTCTGCAACTCTTCTCAGTTATCTGCTAAGAGTACAATATCATTTCTGTACATTAGTCTTGGCAATTCCTGCCTCACTGTGTTCCCTCCATGCACAATATATTGAGGCCCAATTCACTTTCCTCTAGTCTTTTCTCCGTTTTTCTTAAGTATACATTTTGCTCAATTCTTTTTAAGTATATTATGCAAAGTATAAGCAACAGGGGCAGCCCTACCCGAGCCCACACCTCATTGTTGCTGGCTCTGTAGTTTCAGCCTCCCGTGCTAAAGTTACTGTATTGCCCATGTACACTTCCTGCAAAAACCTCAACAATTTCATATTCCAACCTGGTCCCTTTAGCTGTCCACAAAATTTTCTGATTTACGTTATTATATGCTCCCTGTACGTCTAAGAATGCCATCCATAACGGTTGGCTTGTCTGCGCTATTTCTATACATTGCGTGACCCCCTACAAATTATCTCCTAGTCTCCTATCTTTGTGAAAACCATTCTGGAGTTCTAACATTTCTTCTGTTTCTGGCCATTCTTCCACTCTACCCTTCACCACCTGCATTGCTGGTCTGTATAGGACAGGTGTTACCATTATGAGGTTGTAGGATTTGATGCTGTCCCTGTCAGCTTTACCTTTGTACAGCAGCCTCATCCTGCTTTGCTGCGAAGCCTCAGATACCTCTCTCCCAACAAAATTTTTTTCTATTGTTTGTTGCAGCATAAATTTAGTTCATTAGCCAAGAAATTTCACAAGCCTCATTGGTATGCTATCTGGTCCAGTTGATGTTTCTGCTGACATCCTGCTTTCGGCTCTTCCATTCTTTTGGTGTTATTTGTGCATGCTACATTTCTTATTGGTGTATGCTACCGAGCACCTCACAAGGATCCAACTTTTCTTATTCATCTGAATGATGCACTCAATGTTTTGTGCCTCAGACATCCCCTGTCCAGCATTCTGCTTTTCGGTGATTTTAACTACCCCTCAATAAACTGGTTGGCCCTAGCTGTTTCAACTCCCCTTGATAAGAGTGAAGCAACGGAATTCATTAATTTCTGCTTTAATTTCAATCTTTTGCAAGTTATAACTGAACCCACGCGATCAACTTCCCATTCTTCTAATATTCTTGACCTCATTCTTTGTTCAAAGCCTGAGACTTTGAAATCGATCAACTACTTACACGAAATAAGTGACCATAAAGTAATTCACTGTACTTTTTCTTTGTATCTTCAGTCTAAATCCAAGCGACTTAAAACCGTACCACTATACGATAAAGGGGATTACCAAAGTATAAATGCTGAACTAGAAAAATTTTTATTTTCCTTTCTGGTTGACTTTGATGTTCGCTCTGTTTCTGATAATTGGTTTCTTTTCAAACAAAAACTGCAAGAACTTGCGGCCATGTTCATTCCAACTGTCACTTTTTGTGAAAATTTGTCTGCTCATTGGTTTAACTGTTCTTTAAAACGCCTAAATCCAGAAAAGAAGAGACTGTTTCGAATGGCTAAGTCCACTGGGTGCAGCTTAAGCTGGGACAAATTTTATTCCGTCGATAGGCAGTACAGAGTTGAAATTAAGAAGCAAAAACAATCATTTTATAACATCGATCTTGCGTGTATGCTCAAAAATGATCCTAAAAAGTTCTGGAAAGTTATTAACCCTAAATCAGATACTACAATCACACTTACAAATAACGGTGACACATTGGTTCAGGATAACAAATGTGTCGGATTACTGAATGATGCTTTTTGTTCCATATTTACGCAAGAAAATAGCGAAGCCCTTTTTTCTCCTCTTCCCGCTATTCTTACAACCATGTCTGGTTTTGTGTTTGAACCCGCAGGCATCGCTAAACTCATTGGCAACCTTAAAATCTCTTCATCAGCAGGCATGGATAACGTAAATGCAAAAATTCTAAAAAACACAAAAGACTTGGTCAGCGTGATATTAGCTAAAATATTTTCGCAATCTCTTTCAAGTAGTCTTCTGCCTGATGACTGGAAAGTGGCAAAGATTGTCCCGATTTTCAAAAATGGTGACAAATACTCCCCATTTAACTATCGACCCATCTCCCTAACAAGCGTATCATGCAAACTAATGGAGCATATCATCTACACTAACATCATTCAATTTCTGTCAGACAACTGTTTCATCAACCCATCCCAGCACGGCTTTTGAAAAGATTTTTCATGCGAAACTCAACTTGCTTGTTTACTCATGACATACATGTTAACCTTGATTCAAACATTCAGACTGACGCTATCTTCCTGAACTTTGCCAAAGCATTTGATAAGGTTCCTCATAGACGACTCATATAAAAGCTTTCTAAACTCAACTTAGCTTCCTCGATTCTGAACTGGATCATTAACTTTTTAACTAACAGACAGCAACTTGTTACCGCTAACCAGTCATCATCTTCTTTTGCTCCAGTCATTTCCGGCGTTCCTCAAGGATCGGTCCTCGGACCCCTTCTATTTTTAATTTACATTAATGACATGCCTATATCCATAACATCGCATGTTCGTCTTTTCGCTGACAACTGTGTCATCTATCGCCAAGTGACTAACCCATCAGACCACCTACTCATCCAAGATGACCTCAACCGCATCCAAGAATGGTGCAATACATGGCAGATGTGTCTCAACGTCCATAAGTGCAAGCTTGTGTCTTTTACACGTCGCTCTAAACCCTCTATCTTTTCCTACTCCCTTAACAGCGTTCCTTTGGAAAAGAACTAATTCTTACAAGTATCTCCGAGTTCATCTTACATCCGATCTTTCCTGGGCTACTTATACCAGTCACACCACATCCTCTGCTAATCGCTCTCTAGGTTTTTTGAGGCGCAACTTGAAACTGGCCCCTCCTCACATAAAACAACTTGCCTACTCATCCCTTATCCGCCCTAAACTGGAATACGCATCTATCTGGGATCCGCGCCAAGCCTACCTCATCAATAACATTGAATCAGTTCAGCGTCGAGCATTACGTTTTATTTACTCAGATTTTTCTTCTTTTACTAGCGTCACATCTCTTCGAACCCGTGCCAACCTCTCCCTCCTCTCTGAACGCCGCCGTTTAGCTAGGTTATCTCTTTTTCACAAATTTTTTTACAGCCCGTGCCTCCGATTATTATACATCGTTCTTTCTGTACGCCGCAACCGTCGCACGGGTCACAATCTCGATATACAGCGACCAAAGGCAAGAACCACCACATTACAGAACTCATTTTTTTTCATGTACAGCCTCTGATTGGAACGGGCTCTCCCAGAACATTGTAACTACTCATGGCTCATTAGAATTTAAAGAATACGTGCAATCGCGTTCTAGGTATATATATATATATATATATTTTTTTGTTTGCATACTGATTTTTTTTACGGTTTTTTGTTTTATTTTATATGCATAATTTGCTTTTGTGACATTTGTACCCTTCTGTTGATGTTTATTGTATGCCACCCCTTATGTAATAACCCCTATGGGGGTCCTTAAGGTATATAAATAAATAAATAAATAAACTGCACTAAGGTCTGGTTGACTATCACTACAAGCTATTCTTTTAGTGATTTTTGGATGCTCTAGATCAGAGGCGGCCAAGCTGCGGCTGTTTGCGTGTTAGAGTGCGGCTCCCGGCTCCCTCCCCCTTTCCCCTCCACACACTTTCACGCCTCCCTCCCGGTCACACAATGCACCCAAAAAGAGAAATGGAACGCGTTTTAAATAGAAACACAGGTTTCAGTTTGGTAGTCTTGTGCCTTATGTACAGTTCGACTGCTTTTGACTTGGATAGATTGAAAGTAGTTCGAGTTTCGTATATTGCTCTCAACAAAAATTAGCCTCCCCCCCCCCCCCTTCGCGACTCTTGGAAGTCTCGGGCTTTTGTTTGCGGCTCTTAGGCCGGGTCAGCCTGGCCACCCCTGCTCAAGATCTAAAAACATTTCCTCAATTATGCTCCTAATATATTGGCACACCTCCTTCCCTTCTGTATCCCATCACCAGTAGCTAACGAGTGGCGACAGACCTGTGTCCTATCTTGTAAACTATGTGCTCCCAAAACGTCTTGGCTGCATTTCTATCATTTCGGTTAATTTCCCTTGTCCATTTCACTTTGCTTTTCCGATCTTCTCCTAGATCAAAGCATATGCCATTTATTTCATTTCCTGGAAGTCCTTTCCTGGAAGTAAAATGGTTCCCCAACTCTCTGGGCTTTGAGCCATCTCACAGTAGGCCTGCATACTCCCTTTGCCTCTAACTAAAAATAAGAATACGACGCAATTACACCTACCTTTTCAACGTAATAACCAGTCCCCTCTCTGGGCTTTGAGCCATCTCACCGTAGGCCTGCATACTCCCTTTGCCCTAAAATAAGAATACGACGCAATTACACCTACCTTTTCAACGTAATAACCAGTCCCGATGTCGACCGTTACCTTGTTCACATCCGCAAGCTTGCCTGGAACATACATCTGCAATCGGAGGGATTAAGGCCAAATGCTCGGGCAACACCAGACCTCTTTCAGGTATCAATCCCGCTCAATTAGCGGTACAATTCACCCGCACGACGACCACCCGCAGACAAAGTCATGATTCAAGAAGCATGGTTAGGATACGGAGCTTGTCAACGGAACAAGTATTTCTTTTCCTTCATTCGACGGCCTCAGCTTTTCCAGTGAGCTCTCGGACTCCTGGAATTTTGCTTGCACACCCTTCAACTGCTGCAATGACGTGCTGAAAAGGTCCAATTCCTAGAAATAACAAAATATTACGTTTAAATTAGCCTGAGAATTATTATTTCATGGGCCTGGGAACTATTCCAAGCTCGGGGTAAAGCCTGTTGCGTAGGTTGAGTAGGAGTGGTCTTCCTTTTTTGGTAAGGGTCGAAACTGAAGCAACTTCAATTGCTGCACGATTCTGACCGATATATTAATTGTTCCACCTTACACCTTCGCTTTCTTACTTTTCAATGATTGAAGTAGGTTAATTTCTAAGAATAGGGCCCAAACCCAACTTGATATGAGGGAGGTTATCTAGCTGGGGTCAGTGACCAAGGCGTAAACGTTTTAATTATAGTAAGTTCGGCTCAAGCAACTGCATCAATAAAGAAAATGTTAATGTTACCTGTTCTATGTGCTGCTTTAATTGGGCTAGCGCACCAATATCCAGCATAGAGATTGACAGCACGTTCTGTTTGTCTCCGGCCATTTTTGTTATTTCCGTTAACATTCACACTGTCATAGGTTTTGTGGTTTTTGCGAAAACAATCCTACAACGGCGCCACCGATGTTTCAATAATTTAAAAATATACACGAGATATCTTTGTTTAATCTAAACAAAACCTCGTAAAAACTTGTATATTTTTTATATTTGAAGCTGTACTTAAGTATAAGAAATTATATCATAAACCAACAAAATGTGAAAAGTTTGTGTCATGTTTGACGTCACGTGAGAGCTGTCTGTGGCTGAAATTTAATGATGTTATCGGACGGCATGTGGTAGGGTGGTTTGTTTGAAATTTGTGTGATAGCCTTGTTAATATGCTAGTACACTGGGTCAGTTTACTTTTAGCTCTACATTATTTGATAATCTCATGCACATTTGCCGAGTCCGCAGATACTTGTCATGACGAGGGGGCTTCGCCGGAAAGCTCATGTCCCGTGTCAAGAAAGTCTCCTCTTCTGCCCAAGTGAGTTTTGTTGTGCGCCCGATCCGACGAGATCGAAACTGTTTATTACAGTCTCTGCTCTGTTGTCATTCATAAACGAGTTTCTTGGTGCTGCATGTTGTAGCCTTTTACCTAGTCATAAATAAAACACGATCACGGTTAATCTCAACAAAGGGGGGCTATGTTGCGCTTTTGACCCTTTCGAGTCTAGTAGTGTGACTACCGAATATGTTTTTAAACGAATACCCGTGAGCCATTTACGCCTCTGTATAAACATACATTGTGCAGGAAAACGCAAACAAGCAAAAAAAACAACAACAACAAAACATTGGATTTATTGAAGTTACTGAGAAATGCTCGCCTTGGTACTTTGACGAGCCTGACTTGTCTTGCACTTTCCGAATGAAGCTCTGTGAGGTTCTTTCACAGCACAAACGCACGTGCAGGAAGTTATTGTTGAAAGACCGCATTACTTGTTTCCAGGAAGTATGTCTTGTACGATGTCAACGCCGGAGAAGGGTTCAACCTGAGGAGGGACGTGTACATGCGAGTGGCTCGGCTGGTGCATCAGCTCAACGAAGGCTCCAAGACGGCAGAGTGGGTGCTTGTCCTGCCGCCGTGGGGCCCCCTGTACCACTGGCGGACTAAGGACTTCGGCTTTCAGGCCAAGATCCCGTGGAAGGAGTTCTTTGACGTCGAAAGCTTGGCTGCCTATGTACCCGTGATAGAGTTTGAAGACTACCTTAAGGGTGACTTAAGGCTTGCTTGCTTTTTGTGTGCCTGATTGTCGTCCTCGATGCATCCACCTTTTAAGTCTGAGGTTTCTCAGCGAAAGAAACTAAACACAAATGGACTCTCGGGAGGAGCTAATGGCCGATGTCCCTTGACGGTCAAGTTTTTCTCCCCTGGAAGATGTCTCCCAGTGGTCGGGTTTTGCTTTCAGAGGAATAGTAAAGAGAATTATCAATGTGCAGGATTTTCTTTAATTACTTAGCGGGAGGACATAAAATGCTTGTGAGCCGTTTAATGTTTAGAAGCATCAAATGGACGTATTGACGTAAAAAAATTGTCACTTTTCTTCCATTCGGTTTCATTTTAGTGCGTTCGCTTCTGCGACATTCCGGCAGTTTTAGATTCCGAACCGGAGGTACCGTACTGAGCTTCTCCTTCGGATAATAAGCTCTCATCCTCTGAATTAAATTTTGATAAATGTTAAAAGTCTGAGTTGGAAGAGCTGGCACTCCAATTGCCCGTACCGCTGGAGTAGCCGACATGTGCCCATCTCTTGTGCGTATCATGTGCGCGGAGCGTTTAATTTCAAAACTATAAATAGCCCCAGCAAGGCAAAACACTGTCTGAATATAACGTTTATAGTTCGCCACAGACATAGCAAATAACAACACCTCTCGCAGTGTGCACAGTTTTGCGTTAAGGCGTATACTTTCAAATTGTGTAATCACCGCCATACATGTACAGCGACGACCGTCAAAGGGTTAAACAAGGTCAAAAGGGTTGGTATGCAGAGTGCAAGTTCGCATGCTTCTTTTGCATGGGTAGTGGTGACGTCAGAATGCTAAGGTGTGATTGGCTCTGATCGAAGGATTGTGGGTAGACTTCAAAGCAAGCACCCTTGGGGTCTACCCACTATCTTTCAATCAGAGCTCGGTGTTGTGATGTCACCAGAACCCCTACAAAAGAAGCAGACAAACTTGCACTCCGCATAGGTTGGTTGGCACCTCAGATGGCCGTTCAAGCACGAATCTTTGGAGCCCCGGAAAGAAATTGACTGGAAAAACATAAAATACTGAGCGAGCATCCACACTTGCAAGTTTACCAAACTTGCTATTGCTCTAGGTTACTGGCTACATTTTGATAGTGCTTCCAAATAATTATCCTTTTTGTGAAAGCCACAAATTTCATGACATGTTTTGTGTTTCTTTTTTTTTTTGTAACTGAGTCACAAGTTTTGGAAAACAGTATCTAAATGGTAAACAAAAAAAAAAGATTTCTTTTTATAGCCACAAACCAAAATGGGTTTCTGCTCTGAGCTCTTTTATAAATGGTGGCAAGTTCTGGGGGTTGAAAGCTCTGCTTCTCTGATTTGTCAGTATACACCTTTAATAATTAGTTGGTAGAGATCTAAAAGGCGTCGCATTCCGCTCGAAGAGGAGGAAAGGAGGAGGGAGAGGAGGGGGTCGAAGAGAAAAGTAAAAAAAAACTATTCCAAAAATTTATAAAAAAAGAAAAAAAAAGAGGGACAATGTGGAAATGTTGCTTGTTTTGGGGGACGGGCGTCACTCGTGTCCCATTGTCCCTGACTCGCCCGCTGGCTACGTGTTTGTTTGCATCTGTTTTTGTTTTTCTCTCAGTCTTCGTTATTGGCACTGTTTTTGGTGTTTGTGAAACACACATGGAGATATTGCTTGCAATGGGTCGTATGCTTCAAAATGTCATTCATAAACAAAAACAAAACGCGAAAACACCGCAAATCGTCTTCTAACAAACCAAAAAATGAAAAAAATAAGAAGAATGTATCGTCTGCTACTAACCAATCGCCGCAGTAAAGTGATATCGGGTACAAGCTGAAATTTGGGATCATCCAACCCCCTCCTGTCGCTCTAATCCTTCTCTTCCTCATTTCCTCCTCTCTAATTCGGTATCACTCTAATCCTCCTCTCTTCCCTTCTTTCCTCCTTTCTAATTCTTTTCTCCCTCCTCCTTGCCTTCTCGAGCGGAGTGTGACACCTCTTAGATCTGTACCAATCAATTAGTTGTTAAGTGAGAGCCTGCATCTAATTGTTTGTTTTGTTCGTCCATAATGGCGACGGATTGTCATGCTTGCTTCCAGATGTTGGGCCGTCGATTGACAAGGTCTACTATCTGCAGCACCACCCGCGTACATTCACGTCGAGCACGTGGGAAGAAAAGTATGAAGAAGACTCGTGCCAGGACGAAACGGATTACTTCAAGGAGGCTCCAGAGGGGTTCAGTGGATGGTTCTGGGGTTACCGCAACACACTGGCCAAACAGTTCACTTGCCTGTCCGTCCAGGGAACAGGGTCTACCCTGAAACCGTTGCTTTTAAAGCACCTCAACGACACGTTCGTGACAATTTTTTCTTTTTATACTATTTTCAATCGATCTAGGCTAAAGACGGGCTACCGTAATCTGTTTTTGTAATGCTGGCTGTCTTCTGGATGATAGGATAGTATAAGTGCCTAAAACAAGTGCCAAAAATGTGCAAGGCCAAGAAAATGTACGTTACATGGTGCTCATATCGTCTATTTGTCCTTGTGTACCTTTCAGCTCCTTTTTAGGTGGTCGTGAACCAACTGGCCCAAATTGCCGTTTTAATTTGGCACGAGTGGTTTCAATCGGAGCTTGCTTTTTGCAAACATTATGTCTGCAGCTACTGTCTTTCGCAGATTAGCATAGCTGAGTATGAGTAAGACTTGCCGAAACTTCAAATGGCATGCAACTTCCGAGAGTGAGAAAGACGAGTAAGCCATCATCAAACCAAAGAGACGAGTGTTTGTTGCTTCAGCCGCTCGTCGTCCGACCAAAATGGCAGAATGCAGCCATTGTCGGCCCAATTTCGGATCTGAGCGTGAAGCTTGTTCATGTTGTTTTGTTTCTTGGATACTTAATTTCAATACTTGCATGCAATGTTTCATGCTCTGTTTCATAGTCTGGGTAAAATTCTGAAAAAGTTACCCTTAGTACTGCATGGAAATCAGGATGTGTCCTTTCATCGCTAAAGTGAAGACTGCCAAATGTGATCCTTTCTTTTCCAGTGCCATTATGCTAGATCGTGCAGAAGTTATTCTACATGATGTTTTTGGAGATGCAGTTTACTGGGAGGTAAACTGCCCCCATTGGAATTCTGCTTTTAATTTTTAATGCTTTTTCTTTTTTTTATCATCATGGAGGCAACAGTAAACAAATAGTTTTATCAGCTTGCTTGGTAATTTTGAAGCAGAGACAGAACAAATACTAGGGCTTCATCATTACTTTCTGTCTCTTGGCTCCTGCACTTATCACTCTTCTCAGTGTTTACAGATCAATAAAATTCCACGATTTAGAATTATATGTTATCCTGGGTATGAATATTATTTAATAAATGACACTTTCACTTTGGATAGTCCTATTGTGGAAATGTGTTACTTAACATAGTTCTTTTCTCACCTGTTGTTAACCTTTTATGGGTCTGGTTTATTCGGTAATACTGCCTATTCAGTTACAAAGAAAAGGAGATCCCATTTTCATTGTTTTGTGTCCATATTGCCAGCCTTCCCACAAATGTGGCACCCTCATGGCTGAGCAGAGTTTGAGTGTAATTGAGGCTTAAAGGGGCACTGAAGAGGATTCTGCGATCGTCTGTTCTTGGTCATAACTGATTCTACGGGCCCTAAGCATCCTAAGAATCCAAAACTTAATATTACATGACTCCGATTTCTCTATTAAAAATAAAAAGGTTATGAAAGGTTGGGACACATCCCTTTCTGAGTGGATATTTCTGCTCAGAAAAGGCAGCGGTGTCGACGCAACGACGATGGGCGCTCATCGGCCAATCGCAAGCCGCCTCTCGCAGAGAGGCGGCTTGTGATTAGCCTACAAGTGCCGATTGTCACCGGGCTGACAGCGCTGCTGGGGTATGCCCCACCGTTCCTGAGCGGAAGGATCGGCTCAGAAAATGGTGTGTCCCCAAACTTCATCACACTTTTAATAGGAAAATCGGCATCACATGATTGTAACTTTTGGATGCTTAGGACCCAAAGAATCAGTTGTGACCAAGAACCGACGATCGCAGAATCCTCTTTAGTGCCCCTTTAAGTGTCTAAGTATTAATTCTGATGCTGAAAATTTTAGGTAATAGGTGAAATATGCGACTAATCGGTCCAAGCCCTCGCGAATAGTGTAAAATTCGAAGGATGTGGATACTGAGATGGAGCATGACATAATCTGTGTCACTAGATTGCTATTTGCTATACTTTGTACATCTTGGTAAACCTCACAAATTTGCTACTGCATCACTTTTGCTGTCACCCGTACCGTCTTTAGTATCGGGTCAAAACAACTTTGCTCTGGCACCTTTTCAGATAAGGCGCAGCATGCGCTTTTCGAAAGACCTCCGCGAGCTGGCAGACGCCTTTCGCCGGGACGTTCTAGACTCCGAGGACGAAAGAGATGGTACGGTGCTTGAGCCCGACTGGAGAAAGATGAGGCGGGGCACTGCGGTGGGAGGCCCCTTTCTGGCGGTCCACCTCAGGCGGCAGGATTACCTGAGCAGCCGGCCCAAGGACGTACCAGACCTTCGCTGGGCCGCCAAGCAGATACAGGCACTGCTCGACAGACTCAAGCTCACCAAGGTCTTCGTGGCCACCGACGGGACGGCAGACGGTGAGCTGCTGCGGGCTCCTACGCTTGTTCGTCGAGCACACCGTTAAAGAGACGCCAAAACAGAAGTTGGCTGCGGACAGCCAGATGACCTTTCTCTCCCGCTTGCAAAGGACTTTTTTTCGAGTAACGAGCACCATCTAGGGGTTTGTCTGCGAACTACAAACGAAGGGAAGCCCGACATGCCTCCACCTGTCGGAACGCGTCGGCATCATGCTGTCAAATTGGTTTTAATTTGTTCTTATAGCCTCTACTACCGATGCTCAAAAAGGAATAATTGAAAAAGTCCAAATACACGCAAAGACGGGTGCTGAGTATATTGGTTGTGTGGGATGGAAATTGGCAACAGTGGGAAGGAAGGCCACGAGGGGAGAGGGTGTACCCATGCGCAGCAGCAGCTTACTGAAAAAAAGGTCCAATATCACTGCAGTATATCTTCCTTTTTTGTTTTGCTACCTCTGAAGCTTACAGATCATTTGTTTAACCTGTGGCAAGCCTGAGTAGGTGGATAGTCCATGTTAAGAAGAGTAGAAGAAAATGCTGCCTGCAAATTCAAGAGGAATAATTGTGTCAGAGTTTGTGCTTGTAAGTGCCTCGAAATTGACAGTTTTTTCACGTCCAAAAAATAGCTAATTAATTTTGTTGTAGAATTTCAGACACTCAAGTCCTACATCCCGGGAGCTGTTCGATACGAGACCAGCTTGGAAACAAGGAAGAAACTAAAGGACGGAGGTCTTGCCATTATTGACCAGTGGATAGCTGCACATGCAAGGTCAGCTGCACACGACAGAGTGCTGTGCATCACGCTGTTGTAATGTCTACTTATTTGGTTCCATATGACATCCACTATTTACTTTTAAGAAAACAACTGTGCCACCTTGAAGCAGCAAGGATGGCCATCTTCTGCTAATGTAGAACCTGTCATTTTTCAGACACAAAATTATCTGGGAAGCAAACATTGTTGTAATAAGTGGTATCCCTTATATAAGGGTTGCCGTTATTGAATCAGACCACTAGCCCTGGGCTGCTATGTGTTACAGTAGTAGGAAAGAAATGAAAGATAGTTTGTCTGGACAATGAAAGCATAGGAGTAATTTTCATTCACTCTGCCAGAGTCCAAAACAAACAAAAGTACTATACAAATTTAATAACTAAAGGTCACAGATGTAAACAGTAATCACAAAAAAAAAAAAAAAACATGATCACGAAAATTAAAATTTGCCAGAACTATTTGGTAGAATCTTTTAAGTTTCTTTAGCATATCTTAGGTTATGTTTTAGCTTCAGCTCACATAAACGTTTACCTCACACGAATTGGGGAAGTTATTCTACAAAATAATTAAAGGGAACAATAAGCATAAAAGGATGAACATATGTGACACAACCTTTCACATGTGTCCTTCCTTCATCTTCCTAGCCTCTTATTAATGACCACTTACACTAAATTGAAAGCTTTTATAGTGGAATCTCGTTAATTCAAACTCTCCTAATTTAAACTCGCGGATAATTCAAACTAACATGTAGGTCCTGTCGTATGTGTTTCTAGGAAGGAAACTCCCGGTAATTGAAACTGCATTATTCAAGCAAAGTTCTGGTCCTCTTCGGGTTCAAATTAACGAGATTCCATTGTACACCTCTTTTTGAAAGGCATACATGCGAGCGAGTTGCTTGGCCGAGTACTCTGGTCACTGGCAGGGCGAGGACGGCGGGGAGAGGCTTCAGTTGTCCCGCCTCCAGTGCGAGCTTCCTACTTTTGACAACACTTCAATCTCTTGTGTACCTTGAGCGCAGAGCAAAAGCAGGCTGGAAGGCATGGAGTGTGTGGTGGGGGCCTAGTGTTTGAGAGGCTGCCTGTTGTCCTCATTCTGTCACTGACTATTGTTGCGCAAGAGCATGCTCTCGACAGTGAGGCATACAATATGGGCAACACGAAGCACAAGTACTATTGCACATTTACCACGTAGTACTACTTCATTTTGTAAACAGTGGCACACCTTCAACTTTCAGGTACTTTGTGGGCACCTACGAGTCCACGTTTTCTTTCCGAATTCAGGAGGAGAGGGAGATATTGGGGTTTGATGCAGAGACAACATTCAACAGGCTCTGTGGAGATGGACAGAAGACCTGCGTTCAGCCTACAAAGTGGAGAATAACCTACGAGTGATGTTTGCGCTTCTTTGCTTGTTTTCTGCCACCAAGGCATGAGAGTGGAAGCCTGTTTCTGAAGGGTATAGGAAGCATGGACCAATCTCGATTGTATATATCATTCTGTGCCATCTTACGAGCCCCGTCATTTTCGATGATCAATAAATGGCAATGTTTTTGGTCTTACCATGGTTGCCTTGAAACCCCCTTAAGCAAATACAGATTTTGCCAGCCAATTTGGGTACGCCGCCGCAATGCATAAAGGGAACTTTAAAGGGGCACTGACACCCCAAAGGTCGTATTTATTTTTATTGTCTAAAACGATGCAAGTTGCAGCCATAAACACGCAAAAAAAACCGCATCGCGAAAAAAAATTTTCCCGCGCGCACGCGCGCCTTTTTATTTTTGGCGTTTGATTTTCCCGCCTCTCGCCTCCTCGCTTCTTTTGATCGGTGACGTCAAAAATCTGGAAATTTAGAAGCTTTGTAGGCGGCATCTTTATAACATTTAATGACGGCAATCCTAAAACATGTTTTTTAACGCAATTGCGAACGCACTACGGCCCTTCTTTTTGAAATACCAAAAATCGGGAGTTCGTTGTGGTGCCGTCTCCTGGATTTGTATCCTCCAACGGAAAACAGGCGACACCAGTGGGCGACACCGCTCAAAACCGGTCCGCCGCAACGCCGGCGCTAGCCGGCGCTCGCTCCTATCCTCCTCGCTTTGGGTCGCCATGGCAACAGCAGGGAGTGGTGACAGGAAAGTGGACTCTCAGGTCTCTGCAATTTTTGACGTCAAGGCACCGGCGCCGATCGCGCGGGAACTTCGAATTCGGCATTTGGAAATTGTTTTTTTACTTCACAAATACTGAATTCCCAAATTTCAAATTTTGAGGGTAATGTCCCGGCATCGTTTTCAACCGTTTCGGATAATAAAAAAAAATATGATTTTGATGTGTCAGTGCCCCTTTAAGGTGTTCCCATGTCAAATCATACTATGATGGTCCGGGTCATATTTTTTTTACATTTATGTAAAAGATACATGTGAAAGCCATGGTGAAGATTGGAGCTAATTTTCTTGTAGAGATATAAAATTTTGAAGCTTGAGGCATGAAGATTGCCAAGGTTTCACTATGGTGCTTTGTTTGCACATTCCTCAATCTCACATAGTCATAATATTTCAACCTATTTTATGAACACCTTACAACATGTATACAGAATATTAAGACTTAAAATAAAATACTCTCCTCCTTGTCGGTTTAGAAAATCTCTCTTAGGAGCAGTCATCACGCAGCAAAGCCGCTATAACGGAGAGAAGCTAATTCAATTTGAGTGAAGGTTTGCAATCATTTTTCTCTTTGAGAGGTTGTATGTTACTTGCTGTTTTGCCATCATACGTTATAGTCACTGCAAGCGATGAAGGAAAGTTTAAAGAAATAAAACATGGGAGTTTTCTAAATATTGACTTGCAATTTCGGCACATTTTTGAAAAATCATCAGCGTTTCTGCATTAGTAACACTGCAATAACGGATAAGCATACATTTTTTGTGTATTTGTAAAATGCATTTAAAGATGCTCACTGATATATTTTGCGCCATTTTATATGAAGCACTTTGTGGAAAATAATTTGCGAATGTCTCTAAAACATGTTTACTTGACATGTTTTATAACTATTTTTCTATATACCGTAAAATACCACAATCCAGCCATTCCACATTAAGCGCCCATTACCAAATTTGTAAGATCCGAAAAAATATGCATAGTACATTTATATGTAAAATTGATGACTGGAAGAGTGCCCATCCCCCATTTTTTTGCGATTATCTCCAAAGTATTTACGGTAAATATTTTTTTTGCAATTTTTGATATTTTGAATACATGGTGTAAACCTCTCACAAAATAAATAGAAAAAAATTATTACTATGAGCATGCTTCGGTGTGAGTGATGGCGGTGAAAAGTACAGTAGTGAAACGTTGGCAATCTCCACGCCTCCAAATTTTATATCTTTAGAACAAAATTAGCTACAATGTTCACATACTATAGCTGAATGCTCCTGCCAAGAACACAACTTTCACATATATTTAAAAAAAAGATAATTACAGGACATGTAGAACTGCTTAGATGTAGGAATGCAAAAGCATTCCTACATGAAGTGCATTTCTACAGGCAGCGCGCCAGCTCCTCCGTGGGCGAGGACAGCGGGCAACGCAATATGGCTGAAAGTAGTGTAGAACATGTGAGGAGTGGGAATTCCCCCCTCCTGGGCCTCCGGCAACACCCAACACATAACCTGAGAGGGGCAGCACAGCATGTGCCACCCTCTCCTTTTTACCAGTGGGCGGGGAGCAGCGCCATGGAGAGGGCTTCTTTGTGGGGTGGCGTTCCTTGGAACTATGACGCGGGGCAGCCAATGGAAATTTAGTCCTCAATTCATTGCTACAGGCAACGCCGGCTTTACTCCATGGAGCAGGGGAATTTGGGTGCCATTTTTTTTAGCTTTTTTTTCGCGGCTTCAACGCTGATAACGCCGGCCCACCCCATGGAACAGTTAATACTCTCGCGTTTATATGCCCCGTGCCCATCGTTGTATGATCAGACGTGGAAACACCGTTTAGTCTTTCTGCACATGCCACAACCTCACGGAGCTCAGTGCATGCAGAGCACAAGACGTCTCAAGCACTGCCACCTGTGAACTAAAGTTATGGCGGCTTCATGCATGCACTGAGCACTTGGTGAGATTGGCCTATTGAATCATTCTGTTCATTGGAATTTTAGAAACAAATTGTGAAGCATGAAAGATAAGAAAATGTCCAAAGACGGTGTTATGTTTGTCATTTTTCCCCACCCTGCTCTGTTTCACCAACGGGCTCGCATTTTTATTAAAAAAAAAAAGCTTTGATAACAAGTGAACAGCAAATTCCAGGGGAGCTTCCAGAGAATTTGTTATTTACAAGCACAGTCAAAGCTTTTACACTACAAAAGACAGACCAAGCGACTAGCAGATTCCAGGGGAGCAAACAACATGCTTCTTCCAGAGAATTTGTGTTTTACAAGCACAATCAAAGCTTTACACTACAAAAGACAGACCCTGAAATGTTCCTTCATTTTATTTTATTTACCAAAGCAAGAAAACAACTGTAATACGTCCCAGACACATAATTCTCCAAACATGAATTATTCACATATGCCTTTAAAAAAAAAAAAACGCCACTCGATCTTCTCACACAAAAAAAAAAACGCACAAAAAAGGCAACAGAACAATAGTAAATATAAATGTGCTTTCACACCCTCAGTACAAAGCCTATCATACATTCTGCTACAACAGTATCCTTAAATGAATGCTGCTCAGATGATGACTCTTGAAACTGGAGTAGTACTGTCTTCCCCAACCCCGTTACTAATAGTACACAACTTTTCTTTTGTAAAAAAAAAAAAAAGAAAGAAAAAAAGGCCTGCACTGCACACAGGCTGGCTGGAGGGCATTCATTGCAGATGTGTGAAAAACCATTCTTGCTTTCCATTTTCTTGACAAGTTTGTTTTAGAGTTCGTAGAAGAACGAAGGACTTTGGAAAAGAATTGGTTATCCTACACACTTCTTGATGTTTTCTTCCCCTTGACAACTACTGGCCTGTCCTTTATGAAGCCCTTCTTCTTTCTTGAAGTCTGCAAAAAGCAGATGAGACGGTGAAGTCTCAAATCCACTCAAACACTAATACAGCGCACATATGAGAATGCAAACAGGCTGAACTGAATACATGCCATAGTTCCTTGAGGTTAGATGCAAAAGTACCCTTGTTTATGAATGTCATAAATCTGCTGAAGTTTGAGTTCAAACACGTTCGTCTTTTTTTAACTTTGACAGAAGTTTCACTATTTCAAGTTTGACAGAAGTTCTACTAAATGAAAAGGAGCTGGTACTGCCTGGAGGAGAGGTACAACATTTAACAAACAAACTACTCATCATTAAAACCTTATACTTTTATATTGTGTAAACATTGTGAATTATTCTCTAAAATTTAAAACAAGCTATTGCGTAAATAATATATATATATATATATATATATATTTTTTTTTTTTTCATAACCACTCAAACTTTGAGATTCTAGAAGAGTTTGTGATGTTCCTATTCTTATCTTAAAATTGCTTTACTCAGTGATGCATCCATCTTTACCCAGCTATACTACTTTGCTCAAATTATGTGTATGAGATGGATAAGCTGCTGTGCATTCCCACAGGCGAAAGAATTGCCAAAGCTCTGCCCAACCTTATTGTTCAGTTCCTTCAGTTATATCCTTGACTAAGGTGCACACCTTTGGTTTGTGGCGATTAATTTCCTATCACTTCAATCTCGCTCTGCATGTGCTTGTAATAATATCTATTGTATACTATTCAAACATAAAAAACAGACCGCCTAGATCTCTAGATCGACAGGCCAAACTTGACCTGTTGCGAATCCTGAATGAGCAATCTCAATGTTTGCAACATTATGGTTTTTGGTGTTAGCTGCCATATAAACAAAGAAATAGCATGATTATCCTATCTGAAAAAATGACTATGATTTGCTCGATAAATCTGCTATTGTGAGCTATCTATCATTTGAAAAATATAATGTGCTCCGTTTCATATTTAGTGTACAACATTGTCAAAGCTGCTGGCGTGAGCGTGGGGCTTGATTTCCTCGACGCATCTGCACGCGTTCTCGTGCAAATGAAACCATAGATGAAGCTACGCGCTCGAGTCAGTAGCTTCGACAGCGTTGCAAGCTAAGTATGAAACCGAGTATAGTATACTGACACTGCACCTAGCTTTGTCTCATGGTTCTGAACTTGGTTACTGAAGCATTATGCAATGTGCTTGCATAATATAACTCCAGCAGAAACCTCCTGGGCAGCCTTGGCTGGCAACTCCTACTTGAAGGGTTACTGAGCTTTCGAGTTCCAAGAAAACTTTGACTGCCACTATGAGACTCCCAGTTCTTAGTCCATGCACTTTGCACTTGCATGACACAATAAATGTAATGAGTGCCAAAAAAGATAGTCAGCTGGAGTCGTGGCTAAGGTAACACTTTTCACAGCTCATTTTCAGTACCATGCAAGAATAGACTTTCACACGGTGGTGTTGTGAAATGTCCACCTCAGTAGTCCGAGGCCTCAAAAAGACCTACTCTATGCAATTAGGTTTCAAAACAGAATCATGCTTTACAGGGGAAGACTCTTTTTTAAAAGTGCATTAACTTCTGGTAACACCTGTGTCACACAGACCCCCCCTCCCCCCCAATGACATTTAGCCAAAGGCCGGCTGAAGAACCGGTGAACTGGATCTTTGCTCAGAGTTCTATGTACAGAGTATGTACTGAGTGTGACACAATTAGCTCGGTACTTCAAACACCTGTTCCGAGCATGTACCGATTGCAACACAGTTAACTCAAGCAAGCAACTGCTGTATACCGGTCTTTGCTTATAAATGAATGACTACTTAATCAAAAATTAGAGGAGGGCACTTAAGCTTCGCCTTTAAGAGTGGAACGCGAGAGCTAAACATATAAACCCCCGCTCATTCCCAAGCCGTGCAAGTGTGTCGCGCGGCCTACTCGGTAGCGTGCCTGGCTCGTAACCGAAAGGTCGTGGGGTAGAGTCCCGCCTCTGCATAAAATTCTTCAAATTTTTTCTTTAAGGCATATGAATTATTTTATAAAGTGAAATCATTTGAGAGATGCAGCGACCTTTAATTCGCATTACATGTCATGTTTTAATCGCTTTTATTCGACGTGTGATGTCACATTTCTGGTGAGCGTTGTTTGAAATTCCCGTGCGAGGTCATGTGGCTGTGACGTCATGACCCTACCGACCAATTAGGAATTTCTGTGACACTAAGCCCTTAACGCTATCGTGTTTATATTACTGGTGCCATGGAATATGCTCATCCGGTGCACCACTTTTGGGAGTAAACTTTTCTGTTTGTCAATGCCTTGTGTGCATAAAAAAGTGTTGATATTGTGTTCATGTTTATTTCCAGTTCATGCCAGTGTACTAGTTCACCAACATCCTATGTTACATTTGGCTAAATGACTTTAAGAGCCACTCAGAAGCCAAAAAGATTATTTTCATGCAAGTCAGCTGAATAACCCCTCGAATGAATTTTTTCACTACAAAGACACTGACTTAAACAGATATACCGTAAGGTGAGGAACAATCGAATAACAAATTATGTTTGAAACTGTTTGCTACTATCCTCCCAAGAATAGAAAGGAAAAAAAGTCTTTTGCATGCTTGCGGGGAACACAGAAAGTGAAACATTACTGTCCACCTTTGGGTACAATGTTATGTCGTGCTCCTCCGTCGTTTTTGCTCAACCTTGTGTTTTTCATAAAAGAACTACACAACGCACAGCGAAAAACTAATTGGGGCTATCTCGACACCACATACAACTTCCTTGCACAAAAAAAGTGCTTTTTGGCTTGTCAGTGGTGTTGTGCCACGTGTGACACAGGCATGCGGGTGTACGTACACGAGAAAGAACCTTCAATTAGCCAAGAAAACCCATCAGAGTTTACATACACACACATAGCACACACCCAATGTCAGTACTACAAAGCTGAGAGCTCAAGAAATCTAGCACTTTAACATTCTATTCCAGAAACCCCAAACAGTAGTGAGGATGCTGCAGGTGCCTCTACTGCGAGCCAGAGACACTGCCATGGCACAGGGTGTTTCATCCGTCATTTCAGGCAAGGATCTACGCCAAGTGGAACCTGCACTGTCAATCCTCTTTGCATGGTCTCAAGTACATAATTAAGAATGCAAAATCACGGAGATGCCATTTCCAACTGATCCTGCAGCAAATTTTGTGTCAACTCTTCAGAGGGGTTGACAGACCTGCCATTTTTGCAAGTCAATATTTTCTAATTTCATCTTTTGGGGAAGTTTAGCTACATGAACCAACACACTTTCTACTCGAAAAGAAGATTCCATTCACAAAAAAAAACAACCTGCATCTCAGAACCAGCACTGCAGGTTCCTCACGATGACGTATAGCGACATAAAAATGCCCAAACATTTATAAATTTACAAGTTTTGAAAGCTATTTCATCCTTCGGTACAATGACACCCAGGAAGGGCAGAGACCCCAACCATACCCTTTCCAATTCCTGCCAAAATGGCGATGGGCATGAAGCCAAGGAGCCGCTATTTTCGTGGCTGAAACGTCGCTTAAAAAGCTACGCCGGAGATGCAAACCTCCAACTAGTTCCTCCCCGGAAGCCTTTTCAACCGCCTCCCAACACCCTGTGCCAGCATCCAGTGCCTTTCATTGCAAGCCACTAGAGCAGAGTGCAACGATTCCCGTCGTCATGGGAAGGCAGGGCAGGGCAGGCAAGGTGTTGCCGCTCGCATGCTTGCAGGCAGGCAGGCAGTAGGACGGGCGCTGTGCACTTTCCTCACCTATGGCCAGCCTCTTGTCTCTGGCGTTTGTTTGGGGAAGAGGCCTAGAGGGGCTGGGACGCTGCCTGCTTTACCTTTTTCGAGACGTACACACTCTTGGCCTTGACCTGGCGCTGGACGTAGGGGATGCGTGGGCGGTTCGACTCCTTCTTCACCTTGAAGATGCGCACCAGCCAGTGCTCCGTCGTGTATGCCTCCTCCAGGTGCTCCAGCGTAAAGTGCTTGTTGCCAATCTCCATGTTGCGGGTGCGGTCAAATCCGGGCGGGGACCTGTAGTCCAGCTGAGAAAGTGCAACGAGATTTGAGTGTTTAAAAACCGGAATCTATTTTCTCATTGCCACATTCTTCATCTAGCATTCTTACACCTCCCACAAAGCTGCCAGACACGCTAACATAAAATATGCGAGAGAGGGAGCTATCTTCCATCGCTTTTGCACGGCGTGCACTGCTAAAGGCACTTTTGTCGTAGCATCAAAGGATTTACCTAAAACAGGGGTTCTCAAAATTTCCTATCTCTAATACCTATCTGCCTTAAATAGCAGCCAAAGAATCCCTTCCAGCCTTGACACTGATGCAGTAAAGCAATGCAGAAGTCCAAAGGCCTTGGTAGTGAGTGGCTCAGATCTGTGAAAATACCTAGTACTCAAACTGGAAAACCATTTTACTTGGGGACGATCGAGGAAATTGGCGAGTTTAAGGGAACTCCTGAGGGTACCCTGGAGAACCCCCCGAGATGGGGATCCCAGGGGACCCTGAAAAACCCCTCGGTTCCTAGGAACCCAGTTTGAGAATTTATGACCTAGAACAAGCAGGGAGAGGCAGTACAACACCTACCTGTAGCTCTCCAAAGCGGTAGTAGCTCATCTTGTACATAAGACAGTTCAGCAGTGTTTGGGAGCCATACTCGTCCACCCGGAATTCTCCCTTGTCATTGAAATAGTCAGTCTCCTGTGCAATGAGAGGAAAACATGGCTGAATATGTGGCACAGCGCACGCCGAAGGGGGGCAAGCTTGCTGGAAATATGCCTCACCCTGATGTCCTTGGGGTGTTCTCCTTCGGCGATCCTAACCATCCACAGAAACTTGTTGATGTCGTCTCCAGAGTAGCCTATGACCCCGCCAAAGATGACGAGGACATAGTCTACATCCAGGGCCTTCATTATCTCATACGCTGCAGTCTCGTTGGAGGACATGGCCTTCCCCACCTGCAAGCGCAAGTTGGATCACCTCATGCTTCAGGTTACCAACCAAGATCTCCAATACCGTCGCGTCTCGGTGATGGCAGACTCCCTTAGCAGGCACAATATTTTTAGCAGTTATCCTCCCCAAAAGTATGCGATGCAGCGTAATTGTATACCCGTTTTCACCTCAAGAAAAAAGGAAGTTTTGCTCCATGTTCCTACGCCGGGCGAAGTAGTTCTCACAAAATTTGGTCGTCGGACGCAGGAGCGGTACTTTTGGCGTTTGAAACGTGTACGTCTTAATAAGAGAACACATATCTAATCTAAAATACACCTACATATGTCTCAATTCTCAGCATAACGAGGGAAATTAGTAATGCTCCGCGAGGAGCCAAACTTTTTTTACTGTGGTTCTTGAGGTGAAAACGGGTATAGTTACGACCCGTTATGATGAACAAATCACATAAAAGGTGAACTCTCTTCAAATACGCAATCCATTCTGTTGCATCTACATTGGTCAGCCATGAGCTGTTATAATACTGGTGCAGCAACAATTGGTCATTCAAACTACGATTAAATATATACAATAAGGGTATCTGCAGTTCCATACCGTCCATCTTTAGGACATATTTCAGTAATAATGGCACAGAACTGAAGAGAATTCACAGTATAATTAGAACTGTATAGACACTAGGCTGATATGATTTACCTGCAACGCCTGTACCAGCTACACTTGGTGCACACCATCATATTTAATTTATTGGTGCAGCCCATCTCAAAACACAACCAGAAGTACATTGCCCTGCACTTTTCTTAAAGAGACCATATTCCTCGGGGCCCCAAAGCGGGACGCGTATCGGGGGGGGGGGATTGTGTTGAGAGACCGGAAAAGTTAAATGTCGGTAACAAATCGCACCTTTTCATTATTTCGTATACACCGTGTGCATTTCTTTTTCTTGCAATTTGCATACTGTGTGGCTTGCAGCTATCTAATACATTTGGTTGGAATATTCCTTTAGTATTAATGTATTTATTTTTGTGTACTATGTCCATAGTACTGTTCACATGTGATACGCCAATTAACCTTCAGCATCTTCTCTGTCGAGCATATCTTGTTCCTTGATTACAAAAAAGCACCCTCTCACCGGTGCGATCCTTTCGTTTAACCGAATCTTCCATCTATCCGCGGTTCGAAGAGCAAAAGCGGGACAAAACGGCATCCCACAAGCACGCTGGAGGGACAGCGGGACCACGGCCGGAAAAGCGGGACCTGTCCCGCCTAAATCGGGACGTCTGGTCACTTTAACTTTTCTGCACTGCACTACATTTTTCTACACTGGTGCAGGCTTTACAGGTAAACCAAGCAAGCTTACTACATTACCAGAATTATCATAAACTGTCAGAGTAGATGCACTTTCAACGTTCTCCATGTGAAAAAGTGAATCACCAGTAAAGCCTATTTCCAACAAGCAGAAGGAAATTGTAGCTCACTCGCACAATGGCAAGGCTTGTGCAAAACCGGCATGACCAAGCAGCTGGGCAAAACACTGAGACAACTTTGTACAAGGTTTTCTCGAATAAACTCAAACTCAAGGAAGGTGGGGTGACTCACCAGGGCAATGTGGCTGTTATTCCAAGTGTTGTTGTCCACTAGAGTCGTCCGATTGGCCATCCCTGCTATCTGGTAGCCGTAGTCCCACCAGGACATGACACGGGCGTCATCTCGAGTGTTTTGGGACAGCCAGTAGTAGGCCTCTCTGAAGTCGTCCAAAATCACCCTCGAACTGCGCAAGAGCGAAGAGCACCAGTTGGCACAAATGCTCGGTTGTTAGGTAGGGTGCACACCTTTTATTCGGGCATAGTCCTTTAAGCTTCCCACATTTTGTACGGTCTTACTCGCCTGATGCACTCGGAACAATTAAAACCGTCTTTCTCCTTTTGGGAGGCTGGCCAGTAATGACAAAGCTTTATCACTACTTCAAAACCGTCGGCTAATTTCATGAAAAACAACCGGTAAACAGCAAAAAGTAATGGCAGGGCATATTGGGAAAGTACTAGTGATGGGCCGAACTTTTGCCAAATCTCGGGATTCGGCAAAGCCACACTTTTGCCGAACTTTTCTAAAGATTCGGCAAAGATACATTGTTACCAGACTTAACGTTGGTATTTAATTTTTTCTGGCAAAAAAGGGTTTTATGTTTTTTTTTCTTATCTTGAATGCAACATGTAATGCACATTGGCACACTTACAAGATAATTGTATCGGTATCGTTTCTGTGTGTTTACTGGCAATTTTAGTGACTCCTTGCAGAAGTGGCGTGACAACGAGGTTGACGAGGTTAGGTAGAAGCGAGTGTGGCGCAGCCGGTGCAGTCACGCTATGAAAATTTCTGTGTACTTTGTTAAAACGAAGGCAATAACGTTGCATTCTTGCTTTTTCTGGGAATCATCTTTTTGTGCGTGAAAACGAATGCAACGGTTGCTGAGCCTTCCTAGAAAAGATAATAACATTATTGTAAATGTGCATGTTTTTTATCGATTTGAGTCAGTTGACGTCAGGTTTGCATGGAAGTGCGCGTCTCATATTCGCAACGTCTCGTTTATAACCTTTAACATGCCACTTTCTGGTGTTAGGACACACACAAACGTTTAGGAAGATAGGGAGAGTTAGGAATATCGGATGTGCAACGTCGAGCATTATAGTTCTTTGTTTAGTTGTATGCAGATACAGGAAAATCGCGAAATAAAATTAATTGAAAAAGCAATATTATTTTGTTTTGGCACACACTACTTCTGAGCCGAACACAGAATTGTTATAATTGCGAGGAGTGCTTTAAAATAATTGTCAGCCAATGTTTCAACTAACTCGTTGCATCACTAGAAATGTCAAATGAAAATCACGTTATCCAGAATGTACCGCATCATTTGTCACTTGCGCAGTGGGCTGCGCAATTTACTGGTAGATCTTCTATTCTTGAGGCAGAAAATAGTGAAGAGAACCACACTTGCTCACAAGCGCACATTACCGTCTCCACACCTCGTCGTAACCGCTAATTGTACTACACTGCACCACCATGCACTGCACGATGGTAACCGCACCACTGCACGGTGTCCATTTGCAATCCACGGCCCCGTCGCGTTCTCGCGCGTGCGCAGACATTTGCCGAATCTTTGCCGAACTTTCCTTCAAAAGTTTGGCATTTGCCGAACGTAGAAAGTATACATCTTTACCTGAACACGAACAAAAGCACAATGAAATCTGGACCCAAAAATATAGAAAGGATTCTCATGAAGTGAATTCCAATTTATGTATGCCCAACGTACTGCAATGAATGAATGAGCGGGAAGCCCCGTGCAGAGAAACAACGCACCCGTCGTTGCTGTAAGAAGCCAGTACGATGCTGGGGCTGGAGTAGGCGTTGCTGGTGACCCAGGTGCAGTGGACAGCAAACATCATAAGGATCATCATGAGCACAACCACCACAATGCTGCGCACATTGGTGCCCAGCCCCACATTCTCCCGGCTCTGGTCAGACTTGATCTTGCGCAGCTTGCCCGCCTGCGCAAACACATGTCGGACTTCACGTTACTGATGCCCTTGAAACAATCTGCTTCTACGACAGAAAAATACTCTTCCTAAATTTCCTTATTAGCGCCAAAAACATGCACCTAGGAAGTTAATGCAACAAATTAGAGAGTGCCTGAGAGACCTTGAAACACAAAAAAGGCCAACTTGACAAAATTTCGTAGCTACGTTGCTCCTATGCTTCACCAGCAATGCACGTTAGCAAACTTCCACAGTCAATGAATGCATTATTTTGCTCCTCAGAAGTGTAGGAGGTGGTATTTCCAATACTGAAAGCCAATCTGTCTGGCACACTATTGGCAGGTTCAAATGCCCAGGCGCTCATTATCTGACGAAGGCCTACTGAAGGGAGAGTGCTGTCAAAAATTGACCGCATCTCCGCGGGGCGAATGATGTTGATTGGGGCCAAGCTCTGGTGGTGCTTGTCTGCGTAGACGCTGAGCCGAAGCATGCCGAGCCTTTCGTTCGTTTTCATCTATGTCAGAAAGAGAATGTGTGGTATGGAACGTGGTTATATACACATTTGAGTATTTGACCGCAGCGCCCTCTTGTCTATAAACGTTGAGCCAATGCATGCAAAGTTTAACGCAATTATATACGCATTTGACCGCAGCGCCCTCTCCTGTATAGAAGTTGAGCGGCTACATGCAACATTTCATCCATGACATCCCCAGCTCTTGAGTTACTACCACATCTCACAGCCCCCTACTCGTCCCGCAGTCGTGGCCGAGTGGTTAAGGCGATGGACTAGAAATCCATTGGGGTCTCCCCGCACAGGTTCGAATCCTGTCGACTGCACAAACATTTTTTTTTTTCATAATTTTTTTTAATTTTTTTTTATTTATTTTTTGCTTTCTATGAGCATGTGAGCACGTGAGCTCACGAGCACGAGCATCAGCAAGATCGATGTGAGCACGGACGCCGGATGGACAAGGCTAGACCCTAAGGAGCTTTGCCCCCAAAAACTTTCAGCCTTTCCACTCTGGTGAAGAAGGAAGACCAGCGGAGCTGTACCATGGTGGGACGACCTCAAGAACGACTTCTAAGACGACCTCAAGGATGACTTCTAGGACGACCTCAACGATGACTTCTAGGACGACCTTGAGAACAACTTCTCAGACAACCTCAAGGACGACGACCTCAAGGACAACTTCTAGGACGACACCCAGAGAAATTCAGCCTTTCCACCCTGGTGAAAACCAAAGTGGAAAGGCCGGACAGGTTGCCGCCGTCGCTCATAGTTTGCGGTAGCTGTCCAGAGTTTTGTCTAGAGATTTATTTCTCCACGGACATGAAACTAGGGAAACTAGCCCTTAACAGCTCCGCTGTAACATCTCGGCTGCACGCTAAGAATCCGCAAGAAGTCAAAAAAAATCCTTGGACCTCTCATGGGGTACCTCAGATAACCCTTGTTGGTGTAGAACAGAAGCCCCAATATTTAATTTCTCTAGGTTTACAGGGTAAGCTACAAGGAAGATACCTTCCCACACCTTAACAGACTCATCTTTAAAAAAGAAAGGCATTTGTAATACGAAGTGCATTTCAGATCAGCTCTGCTGCCCTTTGGGTGAACTTGCCACTGGGCTAAATATAATATATCAGAAATCTAATTTCCCATTGTCTAAAACTGCCACAACCAAGACTCACTCGTGAGTGCTGCCTTTTTTTCTTTTTTTACCTAAAATTGTACAGGCACTGTCAGCAACAGTTATGGCTCCGAAACGTCACTGCGAGTTTCAGGTATGGCATCAGTTGTGCTGCCCTTTCGCGGACTGTTCTAGCAAGCAGGATGACTAAAAGCGCATCCTGCCTTTTCTGTTGGGCATGTCGGTAAAGGCCGGCGACAACTGGCAACGCCAGCCAAACGCAGCAATACGGCCAAAGCAATGCCACTCCAGAACGTAGTTTATCCGGTAGGCGGGGCTAGAGCTCCTAAATATGCTACGCTTCAATGTAACAACACTTCGGTCACCTCGATGGCTAAGGTTAAAGTTGATGATTAAAAACCTCAAGTGTCGTCTGAAACTGCAGAAAACGCTCCTGCGCTCGCTCAGCACCGAGCACCAAAACGGCGGCGTCCACGAGACGGTAGGAGAACGGAGCGCCGCCACTGCGAGACCCCTCCCCTTGTTGCAGCCCTCACCTTGTCGTAGAGCTTCTTCTTCTTCTCCTTGTGGTCGGGGGAGTCGCTGTCGTCGCTGTTCTCCTGGCTGCTGCTGCTGGTAGGGCCCTGGTGGCCCGCCTGGCCCTGCTTGGGCTCCTCTTCCTGCAGGTACAGCTTCAGGGTGCTCGAGAAGGCAATGGCTCCCAGCACGCACACCACGGGCGTCAGCGTCAGCATCAGTCGCACCATCACGCCCGCAAAGTACACAGACGTCACCGCATACAGCACAACTGGCAGGGGAGAGGTAGAAACGAAACAGATCAGCCACGAGTGTAGAGCGCAGCAGCACAGATTTCTGAGCAAATTCCTGGACAGAAGCACCCCTAACGCTGCTGTCACACCCTACGTCGTACAAAAAACAGTCTGCAGTTGGTCGTACAAACACTATCTGCAGACACGTTTGAAAAGCAAACATGCTTCGAACATGCTCGAGATAATTTTGTCATCGTGCCTGCAGCAAACACTGCGCCCTTTGTGCAAACATTCCAACTGCTGCTTTAGGGATTGACGTGAATGCAACGATAGATCACAGTGTATAGGCATGCAGTGACATTGTCCCGGAGATCACAGTGTATAGGCATGCAGTGACATAGTCCCGGCGTTTACATTTTGCGTCGATAGGATTGTTAAACTGATAGGTTAATGAGGGTAGTGCAAATCAATCTTTATCTGAGGGTGCTGATCACAAGATTTGTGGGTTTGACTGCATACTTTCAAACCCATATGAGCAAAATAGTACCAAAATTTTCGTTCACCAATACTGGTTACACAGTGAGAGTGCTTTAATAGTCTTTTGAGTCCACAACCTCCTTTTTTCTTTAACCTTGCAAACAGACTAAGTACAAATTTCAGCAAGTGCTCCACTGGACAGCAGCAAACTACTGCCGTCACAAGGAAGTGGTATATACTATGCACTTGGCAAAGGCCGGAAAAAACGACCCTTTTGGTAAGGGTTCCAGCATAGAGTTTCACTAAATGGGACCGAGGCAGGGACTTACTGAAGACTCGTTCGTCATTGACGTTCTTGATGCAGTACCAGAGCCCCACGGGAAAAGTGGCCACCAGGGCATGCAGATCAAAGAAGAAGGAGAACCACGTAGTGGGCTGGTGCTCGGACACCGAGGCTATGATGGGGATGTGGATCTTGGCGTAGCCCGTGTCCCAGAGCGAGTAGAAACGCCCGCTCCACGGAGCAATGTAGCCTGCACAGAAAGCAACTTGTACTGCACTGCACTGTGCTGCGCCTTCCAAGTGAACAACGAGGTACCTTACGCAGCTTCGCTCAGTCATAAAAGATGGGGACATGGGGGGCAGGCTAGGCGAACTCAATCGGGGGATCGGTGGCCGAGTGCATTGGCACATTGCAACTAGGGGCATGTGGGGTAAAAGCTCACGCTGCAGAACCCAGGGATCCTGAATTCAATCCCCACCCCTGCCCGTTTCCATCTAAATAAGCATTGTATGGGCGTGCGGTCGTGTATCAATGTTAATGACTCCGGGCTAGCGGTGGTACTGCACTGGCTAAATTTCCCATCTAAGGCGTAAGCTAGTGTCGCTGCACCTCAAAGGCAGACCGACCTTGCACTGTAAAAACACAAACCTCTAACTTGGTTTGGACTTTTTTTCTTTTCCACTTGATAGGGTTAATTTGAGCAGACAGGGTACAACCATACTCAACTGGCAGATAAAACATGGTAGTTAATGGCTACAATACTGGCATTATTCGAAGGGTCTGCATCATAAAGGAACCAGGATAGATTGTTTACCATACAAAAGGACTGTTGAGAAATACTATCGAGAGTTCGACATAAGGGTAATAAAAACATCCACATACACAGACGACCACGTGACCGCGCACGTGAAAAGCACTATGTAAGACTCTCACGTCTCGTCTTTCGCGACAACATATAAGGGTCCGGCAAAGTTGGTGCCGACTACTTCGAAAGGTTCAGATCGCGTTGTTCACACACTTGGCAAGGGTCCCATGGGGGCACTTGCCGGTGTAGCCACGAAATGCTGGCCCAACACACACACACGCACCACCTGTCTCGCCAACACTCTTCCCCACAAGATTTAGTACTTATCAGGGAGCTGCACAAGTGTCCCCGACCCCTGCGTGCAACAGGTGCCGGCAAGCTTAGACAGTCAGAAGCACGGAGTATCAATGCTGTTTGGGAAGGACCACGGGGTTTCTTTCATTGTGTGTCGTGGTGACCGACTTGAGGCGGCTTCCGATTCGCAGCAATCCACTTTTGGTTGATAAAAGTGGCGAAATCGCAAAAAGGTGAGCCGGATGGATTCTTGGCTCCATTTTGCTGTGCACTGAAGTTTAGTCCCGATCGTCAAGCTTCGGGCAGCTTTAAGCCAGTGCGTTCGGGCCGTCAGTGGTCCCGATCACCTTGTTGGTGACCTGGTGTTGCGAAGAAAGTGGAAAATTCCCATGCTTGTTCGATGGAGCTTTAAAGCTAAACTAAATTTGGAAATGTCGATCAACTACGAAGACAACGTCGAAATGACAATCATTGCATCGAGCCCCGACAACCGCTCCTTGATGGCGTCTTGTGGGATCTCCTTGCATGGTTCCCTGGGCCAATCATTCGCCACTAATGTCAACCAACTGGGTCCCGATCACCAGAGTGAAGCAGAGAATAATCATGATGCTGTCAGACCCTGTGCTATGCGATCCACCGAATTATCCTTTCTTGGGCAGTGGTGCCACACTTTTTCGCAGTTGCTTTGGATTTCCTGAACTCGGTTTCTAACTAAAGGTTTCTGTCGTGGGGCCTCTCCCCTGATCTGGTGCAAGGTTATCATGGAATCTGTCTTAAAGTGAATGTTATTCACCTCGATTGCGAGGAAAGTTTGAATGTACTATCAGGGAAAAATGAAATGCGAACAGAGGAGCGCGTGGCTCGCGGTACAGGCTGCGCCGCCTGGAAGTGAACCTAGGGGCGAGGGTGCGTGGCCTACTTCGATGAGTTCATGCCCCTCGATTGGCAGTGCGCCTCTCAGTGCGCTGAAAGCTGTCACCGCTATCTTTGCCTGCTCGGCGAGTGCGGCGAGCTTCTTTGCACCGCATGCGCTGAGCCAGCAAAGATAGCGGTGATAGCTTTCAACGCACTAAGAGGCGCACTGCTGAAGCTTGGGGAGCACAGAAAGAGGGGCGTGAAAACGTCGGAGTAGGCCACGCACCCTTGCTCCTAGGCTCACTTCCAGGCGGCGCAGCCTGCACCGCGAGCCACGCGCTCCTCTGTTCGCATTTCATTTTTCCCCGATAGTACTTGTAGAGCTCCAACGCGATCGGTGCGGCCATTGACTCTAACCGTGGCAGGGCGATCGTCTTTAGAGGCGACACTCATCCCTTCATGATTGACAAAGTAATCGTCGTCGTTTCTGTGTCGTCAATGGTACGGAGATAAGTTACGGTTACCTTCAGGTGTATCGGTAATGGTTACTTATCAAAAACTCGAAAGAAGTGTAGATTCAACATAGAGCCGCAATCAAAACACCCTACTCAAGCAACTTGCTTTTATTTAAGTATTTACATTTCCTCTCGGGCTTTGGAGCCACCATAGTATATAGGACATTCAGAGCTCACCTGCATATGTGAGAACCACAACAGCCAGGAATACAAAGCCGGCCACTCCAGCCACAGCACCGAAGAACAGCGTCTTCATCTCAGACTTGGAGAAGAAAGTCTGCAGGTACTTGAGCAGGGCATAGGCATTCAGCAGCACGAAGACACCTGCAGAAAATAGAGCTCACTGCGATTTCCCATAACAATTATGCAGCAACATGAGAGGCCCTCTCTGCAACAATGCACAATGGCGATCACAAATAGTGCGACCCAATCCTACACACCAAGCTTATGATCGCAAGGTACTACATTCGAGCCCGGTTATATCACACCCGGGTATTTCAAATTATTGTTTACATCAAACAGTCCAACCATCCCCTTGAAAATCACATGTAATAGTATAGGGGCATTGTTTTTCTGTATCGAACTTCCATGGCGGAGACACTCCATATAGCAAACCAAGCATGGCCCGAATGCACTGGCTTAAAAAAAAAAACAAGAAGTGGAGGTTGGCAAAAGCAAGGAGAAGGGCACACACGCACGTAGGGAGGGCAGGGAGTGCCCACTGTTGGAATGGCAGCGTGCGGTCTCTCCCCAAACACTGCTGTCGCAGGGCGACTTTTTAACACCAAAGTAAAATAAGCAAAAAAAAAAAAAAAAAGTCGCCGGTGCGATTTTGCTTTGCCAGTTTTTTTCTTTTTTCTGCCTTTCTTTTTTTGCTGCCTGAATTTAGTGAGGTTTCTTTTTTGTTGCTTGCTTAACTTTATTCTATGGATTTTTTTTTTTTTATGCAGCTTGCTTTTTTTGGTTTTTCATTTTTTTTTAAATTATTTTTGTGTTTTGTTGCCGGCACTGTTGTGGCCAGGCGTAAACGATCGCAGACACCGTCGTGTAAACGCATTTTTTTTTTGTCATCTTCATCAACTAAGCTCTACTGTATTTAGTGGCTCTTAGAGGCCCTATTTGGTAAGGTGCAGTTTGTCGCGGCCTTCGATATTTGCAGACGCGCAGAAATTTCAACTGCAGCTTAAGTCAACATATTTTTGTATATCAAATTATCGATATATCAAACTATTTTACGACCCCTGTGAATTCGATATATCCGGGTTCGACTGTACTCACTAGGAATTAGTTGTAACCAAGTTTTTGTGAAGAACCAATTCGGGAACAGAGTGGCCCCTAAATATGACCCAAATTTTAAAACTTAAGAGGTTTTTCAATTTATGGCAAGAAAAAATTACCACACTTTAATCTTTGCTAGTTACGCAACACCAGCAATGAAAATTCCAAATTTCACTCTTTGCTCGCACGCAAGTTCCCAAATGGCTTGCAAACTCACCTGCTGAAGCCATGTGCTCGCTCGTTCTCACGGGCTGGAAGCCAACGAAGGGGATTTGCATGGATAGCAGCAGGCCCAGGATGAAGAAGGTGTTGTATGCTGTGTAAACAGGAGATACCAGAATTAGCACAACTGGCTCGACATTGTCACAAAGACATACAAGACCGTTCTTTTCCACAGAAATGAAAGGCGATACACTAAAGGACGGCCAGAATAAAATATACATCTTTTAAGCATCTGACACATAGTATAACACAGCATGACACAGTTTCAATCTAAGGATCTGTCTCGAGCAAACCCTAATAACTAGATTTTTATGCAGAAAGATTATCGGCAACCCACAGCCTGAAGCAGTTTCATGCGGCCCCCGGCACGACACCGAAAAAGCCCTCCCCCCGCTGCTTCCTCACAGTTTCAAATACCACACAACAGTTTTGACCTCAACTGTGGTTACACAGGAACAAAAAGAGCACTTCCAATTGGCATTGTCCGGCAGTCCCACACTCGGGCAAAAAATGTCTTAACTTCCTTTTTGCCTTTAAGTTGCCTGCCTGTCCCTGTCCCCCCCCCCTTGAGACTTGCTGTTCGGCACCCTTTGTGACAACCCGGCCCGCTGCTGCAGAGTGTTGTCAGTCCCTGCTACAAGGCATGCAAAGATTCCATCACTGCCACCTCCAGAAGCTACAGAAGTTTGTCAAATGAAAAAGCCCCAATAACATCTGAACTAAAGCAGTGACATGTCACTCTTTTTTGTTCTCACATACCAAAATTATTGAGCATTGCCCATTCCACAATAAGCGCCCACCCCTCAATTTTGTAACATTCGAAAAATACATTTTCTCCAAATTTTGAGTGGATGCTTCTCTGGATTACAACAAAAAATCTCAGCACGGATAACATTTTCAAGCAACAGCATTTGATGCCCTTCTTCTGTAGGTGGAAATGATTGGATGCCACAGGTTCTGTGGCAAAGTAGGCAAGTGAGACTTGCTCATGAAAAATGTGTGTGTACTACACAAAAGAAAATATGGCACTTAGCACTTTCTTTTGTGGGGCTTCTTCAGAGGAACGTTTGAAAAGCAATCAGATCTGAAACTGCATGTTGGTGCTAGAGGACTGAACTGACTTTGCAAATGAACTGTGGCACACATACCTATATAAATCCGATTTGAAAACCGGTTCATGATTAGAAGCACAAAAACATGAAGGGGGATGAGGTTGATGATGAACACATAGCCACCCCAGGCAGACACCTGCAGAGAAAGAACAGGAAGCATCATGAGCCAAGAACACTGTGAAAAACTGAGTCACTATTGAATAATTCAAATGCTATGGACTTTCAGGCTAAACAGAAAAATGCCAGTAAACAGCTGCAGGCAGACAAAATACAAAATCAGTCTAACCTTTTGGTTGTTTGATGCTTGCTACATTACAGTCAGAAGAAACAGCCTTTTCTGGCCAGAATAATGACTACTTTGCACAATGTCAAGAATTTTCTGAACTGTCATACTTTAATAAAATGTAACTAAAATATGTCATGCTTCAAAATTTACCATTGTATAAATGAAAGAGCAGATGCATCAGTCACTGTATTTTCCATTGAGTAAAGGGTGCAGTCATAGAGCATTTGAGCAGGACCAGCCATTAAAAGCCACTCAACATTACCAAAGTGAAGAAACCCATTGCGAACGCCCACCCAATTCCTTCCCAAACCAATGGAGGAGCACTGCCAACCTCCATGTAGAGCACGGAAAAGTCAAATGTACCATGTAGAAGTAGGAGAGTGCAGTAAGGACAGCCCAGAAGATGGCACCAGTCTTGACTGCCTTGACCCAGAGGTAGTAAGTGAACATGAGGGCAAAGATGGCGATGCCCTCGTTGTCGTAGCTGCCTGCCACAGACCGACTGATGTACCCAGGCACTGTGGGGGAAAGGGATGCAATCAGGACCTGCTTCCATTGGCCGACAGCGAAGTTTCACTGTCTGCTAAACAAAGAAGTTATATAAAGGCCTGCCATCGCCACTGTAAAAAGTGTATGATTTTCAAGAGGTGTGGGAATGTTCAAAAGATTGAGTACTTTCTGAATAATGTTTGCTATTCAATCCGATCCACAGCACACTTTTGCTGTTTCAACTACCGTAATATCCCGAGTCATCGCCCACCCCCCAACCGCCTGAAATTCGTTAAAAAAGTGGGGTGGGCCATGTCTCGATGGGTGAGCAAAAACACTTGAAAAAAAGCGGAAACAACCGCCTATTTTTCTCTGCGTATCTAGCGCTGATGCACAAGAGATACTCAAAACTCGATTTAGTTTCATTGTTTTATAGAAAGAAAAATGCTCACGAAAGAATATTTTACTATAGCGCAGTCCGTTGCTTGCATACGCGCTAGAAACACCGCCGATCTGCATATAGCACGAACGTTAGTTCCGTGAAAGAATGTCACCATTATGTTCTGCTAGTTAGTAAAAAAAAAGAAAGAAAAGTCTACAAGAAAATAGAAAAACCGACCAGGCGCAACGAGCGAGCGAGCGAGCGGACCAAAGAAGCGACCAAGAGCAATGCTGGGAAAGCGGGAAAGCCGGCGGTCGCGTTGGCAAATACTTTGGCGTCGGGCCAAGTCGGGCGCCTTGTCAATTGCAAGCTCTTGCGCAACTTTCTTGTTTGGTGCGTACATACGTGCGTCCGTGCACGGCGGTCTATCAATGCACGGTTGGGACGCTCTGCAAACGTCTGTGTAGGACGTTCCAGCAAAGCTTTATTTACGCTTTGGCTTTGCCTAAAATATTGCACAACCGCGGTCGCGACGGGCGGGAAGAAGGAGCGGGTTCGCGGTGACCTTACTTCGGCGGAGACAGACTTTGACCTAACAGTCCGCGGTTACGTTAACAAACTCTTATTTTGTTATCTCCATCGTTTTCTTTTCGCACGGATACACGACCACTTCGGGGTCGCTCACGGAGGAAATGCGTAAACAAAAAGAAGTGTCTTTCCCTCCTTCGTTTTACTTTGTCACGGACGTCCTCCAACTGTAAGGTCCGCGGCCGCGTCATTCGGGCAGGATGAGTGTTCGCGGATCGCAGAGTCCGCGCTGGGGTATTTGAAGGGGTGGGCGATGACTCGGTGTTTTTTCGGAAATCGATATTGGCCCCAAAAATGGGGTGGGCGATGGCTCGGGGATGGGCGATGACTCGGGATATTACGGTAGTCGAGTTTTCCGAATGACGCCATCAGAATTAACCGATTTCTTGCATCAAGCTTCACACTGCACCAATGGTATCGCACCAAGCTTCACCATGTCGCACCGAAACCAGCTTCACTGCTTTGCACCGGCGTGCTCGAAGAAAGGCTGATGCGGCGGAGCACCTCACTTGGTTGGATAGGCTCACAAATTTTGATATTACAGGTCAACCTTCTTTGATGACAAAACTAGGTAAACTGCTAATTTTAAAGGCAGTGCCAGAAAAAGATTCTCAACTTATATTTATATGAATAAGGTAGTCATTGCTTTGCTTGCCTACATTATGTCGTATCCAACTCATCTTATCGGGGACTGTTTTTTACTGAACATAAGTGTGTAAAATAACATCAAACAATAAAAAATAATACCTTTCCTATCCATGTTTAGTGAAAAACAAAAATCAGTTTTGATTTTTAAAGTATACATGCTCAATTGACATCAAATGTAAACTATTCCTATTCCAAAATATTCAATTCTATTCACAGTCAATTTTTAATTCATATTAAATTCTCAGTTAAACATTTGCACACCTCCCATTTGCAGAGTTCCTACTATAGTATGCTTTCCATTTCCCATAAGAGAGGGAAGCCTTGGTGTTAGCTGAAGCATCCATACACTGTCCAAAACAAATCCCAAATTCCTCCTTCGCTAAAATTAAAGTCCGCAATGAATAAACTGGACCAATTTATTGGTGCGCTACACATATCTACCTCGCTGCCAGTGAAAACATGCAATCGTGATACGCACTGTGGGGTTAATCTCCCATGTCCTAGGGGAGGGGTTCTCAAAGTCTCGAGGAACATCCATCTCTCTTGATTGACGGCTTAGAAACCCCTCCCAGTCTCAGGACTGATGCAAAAAAACAAGCGGTGCAGAGGCCTACAGACCTTGAAACAATAACATGTATACTGGCTGGTGTTTGGCACATGGTCATGTGTCAATGGAGGGTTTCCGATCTTCTAAAATGGTACTTAGACAAGAAAGAATACTTCATTTAGGGCCAAGGGGACCTCTGAGGGTACTTAGAGCCAATGTATATGGCTACTTTAGCTTCCAGAGTGGCGCTACGCTTTACCCCACGCAGCCTCTCGCCGCGATTGGTCTAGCACGGCATCATGGCAACCGGCAAAGCTGGTTCAGTTCTTATAGCAACCGAGAGAGCCGAACAAGTCGGAGTGCCGCCTGCGTCTGCTTTCTTCACTTTTTGAGCAGCGCGAAGTTCAAATTGTCAGAGCGCATCTCTGCGTGCCGGTGAAAATACCAGCGATGTGATTGATCTAAATCGTATTGGAGCACCTTTTGGAGCAGCCAAAAGTTCATTTTGGAGCAGAAAAAAAAAAGATTTTCGAGCATAAGCACACCTTTTGCTTTCCAGTGTAGATATTATGTTGAAATCTATGTGTTAGCTAATCCAACCAAAAAGAAAATGCTTCCTTTGCCTCCTCACTCCTGCGCAACCTTCTGTCAGCATCAATTGCATGAAAGGTTTTAAGGCCTGTTCACACAGTTGCGCTGGAGTGCAACTGCAACCACTTGAGTCTTGTTAAGACTGCTTGCGTCGAGCCGTTGCTATGACGACCGTTACGACGTGCCAATGGGGAGGTGCTGTGCTGCATGACGCAATGCAGCGCAATGCGACTGTGCAAACGGGCCTTTGTTCCCTCAAACACAAAGCTAGCTGTTGAGTTGTGCGTAACAGCACTGGGTACGGCAACAAGATGCTGACTGATGAAAGACAGAACTTCTGTGGATGGTTATTTTAGGCATGCAATCAAAGGTAAACCAAATGGTATATTTCACTGAAATAGCATTAGAACAGAATAATTTTCAGTACATAAATTGCTGTTTCATTCAAGTTCTAAGGCCCGCTTCGGACGGGGCAACTTTTCCAGCAATTTTGAGGTTGCTGGCGGGTTGTTCCCTAGCTTTCCCTAGATCGACACGAATTGCTGAGATCGGGTCCGGCTCGAAACGGATGAGCAACTCGACCAACTCTGAGCCGTTTGAAGCGGCAGCAGCCAATCAGGGACGCAATATTTTCACGTGACACCCCCGTGGTGGTGATGATGACAGCTAAAGACTTGGTTCTGATTTGAAATAGACTGTTTTTGGAAATAAACCTTTTCAGAAAGATGAGTTAGTATTCTCAATGCCATTCAAAGATATAAAAACACGTTTTTAGCGCGTAGCTGGGTGTCTAAATAGTGCAAGAAAATGCAAAGTGAATGATGATGACAGCAAGTCGTAGCAATTCGGTTGCTGCGTGTGAACGCAGACGGCCCGGGTTGCTGGTGTTGCGACGTCAAGTTGCTGGGTGAAATTGCTCCATCTGAAGCGGGCCTAAAGCTTGTAATAAAACTGAGTCCTAATTAACATAAAAACAAAAATCTTGCCATTTGATAATAAACATCAATGACAGTTCACATGTCAAACTTCATGATAATAAAAATTGGCATGTGAACTATAAATATGCATATAGTTAATAACAATTCAGCTGACTTTGTTAAGGTTATTCCCAAGCTTTCATCCCCTGCTCCAGCTGATTTAGTTTTAATTTAATCTATTCACTTTGCTATCAAACAAATGGAAAGTGTATAAAGGTGATTGACAACTAAGAGGATTGACATAACCTTGCAATCCCAAATTAAATAAATACATCATCAGAATATTAGAGTTTATGTTTACTGCAAGGTAAAGTTATTAAATCAGCGCACATCAAGCTCCTTTTAGTTATTTTTAATACACCAGATGCTTGCATTTGTAATGTTCCGCTCTGGAGGTGTACTTTTTCCTTAGTATGCAGGCAGCGGAACAAGATACACAAAATCGCAATGCCTAGTCAGCTGTTGTCACATCACTGCAGCACACCAGTGCGCAGTGAGAAGCCACAGACCATGAACATAAGAAATATTGCGAAGCTCCTCAGTATTGTCAGTGTTTGATACAGAGATCATATAAAATAGTATGTTATCTTTTAGACGAAAAGCGAGTTCTGAAAATTCTCACAAGCCTACCGTGACAATCCGGTTGTGAAGTGGGGCCTGAGCTATTATATTTTGAGTATCAGTAAAGTGAAATGAAGTTTTGGCACGATGTTGGTGCAAATTCGTCATGTTTTGCAAAATGTAGGAGGATATAGCAGGGTAAGCCCTTGGGTGCAGTTTGGCGTAGCAATTGCATCACTGACACACGGTGAGTGAGGCGCTCAAAACCTCAGATATGCCTGTGCCGGTATACCAACCACAACTATGGCATACTGTCAGCATTAGGTTTATCATTCTCATTAGTCTTTTGCGCTAAGTGAGCGTGCCCAATCTCCCATTTTCTTGGTCAAATTTTTTTTGTAGGGTCATAACTAGCTAAATATTAAATTTCAAATTGAAGCATATACATTCATCCACCTTAGGGTGCTGCTTTGAATACTTGCTCTAACAATAATTTTTGTGTAGAAATGGTTATCTAGGTTTGTTTATTCTTTTCTTTTACAACTATTTTTTTTTTCCAGCCCCCGAGTTTGCGACAAATCTCTAATCTGGCCCTTTAGCCATAAAGTTTGAAGACCCCTGAATCAACCACTTCCTTTTAACAACCGAATGAGTACCACATATAAAACAAAAGAACAAGAAGGAAACCGTAACCAAACTAGGGTTACATTCTTTTTAGGCTAAATCTGACCTTTTGAATGTTGTTGATGCCTTTTTCATTGCAACTGTGGTAGGCATCCAAGAAAAAGAGAGAGTCTCGACCCAAAAGGCAGCAGTGGTGGCACACATAGCATGGCAGTAAAATGGCATAGGGGATGAGCCCTTGGCAGCATGGCAGAGGCGATGAGCTCAAGATCAAGGCATAAACATTAGTGCTATTACTTCTTCGGATGCTGCAAGAATGTGACGTGGCAGTTCAACCCTTCTTGCAACATGTTCCACCTTTCAAACTAGGAATGTGAAGCATAATGTACCCAATAAGGGCAGGCTTTTGCATGATACAATGAGGTCACTACTGCAGTTCTAACAAGTCCAAGTACAGGATCTAGTCTGCTAACTATGACATGCAGGCTCCAGTGCCAAAACAAAAACCATCAGTTCCAGAATATCCTGTTAGCTTTGACTGAGGCTAGAAACTTGCCTATTGCAATGAAGCAAGCAGCAAAAAGTCCCGCTGCGTCGCTCCATAGTTCTTTTGTCAAGAAATAAGTCGCAAGTGCTGTCAGCCCACTGCAAGGCAAAGAAAAGCACACAATTGGAACGTTACAAATGCACACCCTTCCGGTAGAGGTACATGAGGCCAGCTGCAGCACAAAGAAATCGCCAGATGGTTTGTGTGCTTACCTAAAAACAGGTGCTAGGAAAACACAGATGTCTCTGATGTGAACGGTAATGTGAAGAAGGCTGAGCAGATAATGGATGGAACCGGATGTTATCATCAACCCGGGGTACACCTTCATAAATGGAAGAAAAAAATAAAGGCATTTTGGGGTCAATTCATGCAAAGTGCAAAAATAACAGAAGCTGTAAAAACAAATTTGATTCTTTTACACTGCCAGCCAAGGTTCTGCTAATGGTAAGATCCTTTAAGGTCTGGGGTTGCTGTACAAAAGATGTCTGCCAGCAGTCAAAGGCCCGATTCAGACGGGCCAACTTTTTCAGCAGTTTCGAAGTTGCTAGTAAGTTGTTCTCTAGATCTTTGTGCTGCAACATGAATTGTTGGGATAGCGTCTGGATCAAAATGGACGAGCAACACAAACTTGCAAACATTTGAAGCGGCAGCAGCCAATCAGAGAGGAAATATTTTCATGGCACCCTCCCCCTCCCTGCTGATGATAGCTGAAAACAGGGTTTAGCTTCATTCTGGCTTCCAATAAATTGTTTGCATGTCTAAATGGTTTCAAGATGGGCGAGGGTTCTCAGTGCCATTTCAAGACGTAAAAACAGGTTATTCATACAAAAATTTATGACCAGATAATGCAAAAAAATTAGTATTTAAAAATGACGGTGACAAAATGTAGCAATACGAGTTTTAGCAGTTGCTGCGTATGAACATGGGAGGCAGATATAATTGCTGGTGTTGCGATGTCAAGTCGCTGGAAGAAATTGTCCCGTCTGAAGCGGACATACAGCTTTTCAGGAGGCTTTGTTTCGAGCCAAGTCACTTCACAAAAGCTTGCAAAAGCAAAACCATAAACATACCGTTCCTCCAACAATTCTGCCGAGCGGATACCATGCCCTTTCGTCGAACCAATTGAGGAAGTTGTAGAACCCATGCTGGACCATGTAATGCGTCGACCGGTAGTTGAACCTAGCGGCGAAAGAAGAAATTAATTAAAACTAAAGACGCCATACTCGTAAATGAAATTAAACAAGAAAAAAATTGCCACGTATTTTATCGTAACAACGAAGCGAGCACTGGCACAGACGCATGCACAAAAGAACATCTGCTAAAGCGACTGAACCAGCCAGTGCTCGCGGAAAGGTTAGATTTAAGCAAGCCTTCGATAGAGAGAAAAGCGGGGAAACTTTACACGAGGTGCTTTAGGCGCCGGCCGGCGTTCTGTTCTGCACAGTCGCGGCGAACGCACAAACGAGACACGTGTGCACACAGTCGTAAACGTGAATCCTACTACAGACAATAAAAGGCGAAAATAAAAGCATCGTGAATTTCCATCGCCCGACGGGAGACAAAAATATGCATTTAGGATACGTTACTACACTCCAGAGTAGGCCGTTTAGCGCCTCTTAAAGCGCGATCTCATGGTCTGCTAAAGCAAAGTGAGGACCAGTTTAATTTAAATAAATAATTTAAGAATTGCGCCCCAACTCGACGCGGAAACCAATAGCATTCCGAACTTTGCCCGTGCGTGTCCTTAGTTCAAAAAATGTGCCTAGACCAGCATTCTCAGCGACGCTACTCGCGATTTTCCTAACCTAGGTGCGATCGAATAGTCTACAATAGTCAGTCGGGAATTTTCTCTACTTGTGAAGCGGCGAAAGCGGCCCCGAGAAGAGAGCCCGCAGAGATAAATGTAAAAAAATTGGCAGGAATTACGTGCCACGAATCACTTTTACGCTGGTTGTGGTCGTACGGGAGGCGCGTCTACTCACCATGGATCGAACTCATGAATGATGCTTTCGAAACGTATCACAGCAAATAACCGCGAACTGAACCCCACAAGCCAGGCGAGGGCCAAAATTGTGAATCGCAAAAGTGTTTGCCAAGCGATACTTTGACGAAACAGCCCCTCGGATTTCTTGCCGGTCCCCGCCATGTCGGTAAACACCGACACGTTGTTAGGGGGATGCTGGCCAACCACAGTCTGCCACAGGAGAGTTGGCCGACTGTAGCGCCCTTTAGCGCCCTTTAGCACCGAACCTAACTGTGCACAAATATCGCCGGATAAAGTTTTGGTCGTATCTGGCCGCCTCATTCATTGATTTAACTAAACTATACATACAGTGAATTTAACGCTTAGATTGGCAATCCGATAACTCTAATAACACTTTTTATGGTAGTTAGGTTTGGTTGGTGTGTGGATCATATTTTGCGTATTTTTCAACATAACATAGCGAGCATAATTTCCGGAGTGATAATTATTGCTCTGAAGTACCATTGCTTTATTATGCAGAAACAGTAAGGTTATTAGACCGCCGCCACTAGCAATTTATTTATTGTTCTGTTGTTATTTGATTCATTCCATGAGTCACGTTAAAGAAAATAGTTCTCAGATCGACGTTTCCGCTATGCAAGCTACACACAATCAGTTTACTGTATGCAGCGTCAATGTTTTTGATAAACAAAGGAAAATTCTGTCGTAATGACCCCGAATAGAGAGGACATTAGGCAATAAAACGGGCGCAATAATCTCGCAGCTAATATTCTCGCGCAATAAGACATGACGCAAGCGCTTGCGCGGAATGTAGCTCGGAGGAAGCGCAGAACGGCGGGTCGACGTAGATGCATTTCCGGAAAAATGTCTTACTTCCGGAACTTTCTGCTTTTACTTCGTTTCTCCCAAAAGTAATCCGTGATTTCCAGCCGAATTAGAGATCGCACTGGCCCCGAGGATTTGAAGTAAGCGAATCATTGCCGCCCTTTCTCTGTCCTCTCGAGAAATGTCAACTTTCGAGAAGCGCGAACTCGGGAGGGACGCCGTCGCCGTCCACCTCGCCAGGAACGCGCTCTCATTTGAGTCCGCTTCCGTTTTGGCCCCTTCCGTTTTCCTGTTTGCAATGGCGCTCCTCCCGCGACGATCAAATATCTGCTGCTGCTTCTAGCGATCGCGTCAACTGCCTCTGCCCGTCGTGCGTGCGACCGACGAAAAGGATGCTTTGGCCTGGTGACATTCTCCATCTTGCCTCGGGCGCCACTCCTCCCTTATGCCGACCCCAGAAACCATTCGAGCCCCCAAGGTTCATACCGGATTGCTTTCCGATCTTGTCACATCTGGCGATCGAGCTTGGTTTTCGTCTGCTAGCAGCTTAAATGCCTTCTAATGCGCTAGCACATCTCTCGTGTGCGATCTAATCACTGCTAACCAATTCAATCGAAAATTCATTACCGTCTCGGCGTTCCTTTACGCGTGTGTTCGTTCTGAACTCGTTACGAAGACCCTGTTTTTCTCTCCTAGGAGTCCTGGATGTTTTCTAAGGAGCTCTCTTACACAGAAAAATGGAGGTGAGTGAATATCACTTGTCATGACAGTCCTTATTCACTATTGCATACAACAGAATTTAGATTTCAACGCTGGGTGACTAATACCACAGAAAGTGCATCATGAACAACCAAAGCTAGTGTCACAAAATGGCAATAGGTGTGCCTTGATGTCCACCTGAAATTGTAAATAACATTGAGAAAAAGCCGTCAATAACATTGAGAAAAAGCCGTCAATGCAGGTGAGGCATTTGCCAGGTGTAAAAAGATGCATGACAAATTGCTGGGAAATTGTGTTGCTCGTGTGGCGTCTACGCTCTCGGTGTTCTTCGTCGTTTAGTCTAGTGATTGGCTCAACGGGTGGCGTGTACATTCGGTATCAATCCCTGGAATGGAGGTACCGGTGCTAACCCGGATTTTAAAAACGTATGACGGGATGTCTAGTTGCAATCCGCCGAACGCAGAGCGGATACCCTGCAGGGCTTTCCCGCCAAATGGCACCTCAACTTACGGCAATGTGTATTGACATCTGGAAGGACACTCGCTTAATAATCTAAATGGTCGGAATTTGATTCCCGCATGGCGCAAGCTCTTTCTTTACTGCGATGGCACCCCCCCCATTCAAAATCAATCAATGTCGAGTCTCACAGCCATGTTTTCATCCAGGTTTTTGGGCTTCACGAAATGCCGAACACAAAGCCAAAGAATGTTTCACGTTAAAAGAACCCAAAATTAAAGTGACCATATTAAACGGGCCCCGAAATGAGATGTTTATTAGGGGTTGTGAGACTTGAAAACTTTAAATTTCGGTAAGAAAATCACCTTTTTATTATTTTGTATGCTCTGTGCACATTTATTTTCCCTGGTATTTGCATACTGTTTGGCATGCACATCTAATAGATTTGGTTAAAAGATTTCTTTAGTACTAATGTATTTATTTTTATAGATACTATCTCCATAGTACTCTTTATATGTCATATGCAAATTAACCTTGAGCGTCCACATCTTCTTTGCTAAGCATATCTTGTTCATTGATCAGAAAAAGCAGCCTCTCATTGGTGCGATCCTTTCGTGTAACTGCGTCTTTTATATACTTGCAATTCGGGGAAGTCGAAGCGGGATAAAACACCATCCCACAAGCATGCCAGTGGGGCAGCGGGACCAGTTTCGCCAAAATAGGAACGTCTGGTCTCTATTTACTTTATTTAGACACAAAACATAATGCGAATTAACAGCTGCTGCATGAAACAGCTGAAACACAATTATCTATTTCATTCTAGGTTGTACACTTACTTTAAGGCTCTCTCTGACATTTGCACGTGCGACTGCTTATCACTGCTCATGACAATGTGGTTACTATGGCAGCCCGACTCCACGCAGCACTTAGTGGAGCGGAATGATTCGTAATGTAGTTAATCACACTCATAGGCACATGTCTGAACCTGCCTTTATACTCTCTGTCGTTAGTTGTGTTCAGTGCAGGCGGATGCAATGCCAGGCAAAGAGAGAAAGGGCGAGCACTAGGAAGGTGGAATGGGAGAGGGCAATGATGGGCGAGGAGAGAGGGAAAGCACTAGGAACGTTAGAGAAGAGAGGAGGTTTCTCTGCTGCTCGCCCTTTCTCTCGTCGCTTGGCGTTGCCTTTGCCTGTACTGCACGCACTAGTGACACAGAGTATAAAGATTAACCTGGGAGATCTACTTTACAGAAAATTTAACAAGGAAAAAGTACACGTGTTGCCTCCTGGTACCGAGTTAATCGGCGTTCCTGGTACTTAGAGCCACTAATAAACTATGATTAGAGTATCCGGACGTCATTTCTCTATCCTGTGGCCACTGCCATGTTGGTGCCAAGTGCAGACCAGGCGCAACGGGCAATCGTTGCACTTCAAGAATACAACTTTTTGACCTTTAGATTCGACATGAGGAAGCTTAAATGGTATTGCTTTGTTATGCCTGTGTTACAACATTTCTGGAGGACAAAAGAGCGTCTTTTGCAATTTCAGATAAGCGGCAACAATGATTTTTAGTACAAGGATGGCTGAAGCGTCGTTACCATATTTTCCGGGTGTATAGTCCGCAGGGGCCAACTCAGGCCAAAAACAAAAGTCTTTGCTTAGGTAGTCCGCACGCCATGCACTATCCATACCTGGTGCTTAGTCAACAAGAAAATATTCTTATACATGGCACGCCTTTCCAGATGTCTGCTTTCTCAGCTCACAAAGAAGCTTGTATTATACATAAATCATTAACTTACTCTTACATTCATAAATTCCACCACGTCTCGTCACAATGAACGATGTTGAAAAACAAAATTTCATTGTAGTCCGCACGTTTAGATTGTCTGCACAGTTAGAAATTTAAACTTTTAAACATGTATAGTCCGCAGACTATAGCCCGGAAAATATGGTACTCTTCTCTAGTGCCTCTACTGGCACCCGGTCATGCTTGGTTTGGTGGGACAGGCATTGTTCACGCTTGCCATGTCCTCTCTTGCCCAGATACCGTTGCCTTTGCAACTTGCGCCGCAGCCTTCCATGTCCCTGGTGGACCTCGGCAAGCAGCTGCTCGAGTCTGCGAGAAACGGGGAGACGGAAGAAGTGCGCGAACTCATGACCAGCGGGGCCCCCTTCACCACAGACTGGGTAGGCTGTCATTCGTGTTGCGCTTGTTCTTCATAAAACCATCAACCTGTTGCATAAGGCTGCCTCTCAGGTTGCGAGTTCTGCACCCATAATCTCTTCTCCAATGCCTTAAGGCCCGTTCACGCACTTCCGCTTGACTGCAACCGACTGAGACAAGGCTGGTTTTCGAGCCTCTTGCGACGGCTCAGACCAGCTGCACAGCTATGTCTTAAACCATGCTTAAAAACCGGTCTTGTCTCGGTTGGTCATAGTCAAATGCAAGTGTGTAATGGGTAGGATGTAGATAATTCACTTTTTTTATTGAGCAGTGTTTAAAGTTCCCTGGATAAAAATGCTCATAAACACTTTACCATAAGAGTAGGCAGTGATTGAGTGGTGCACGAATGCACCGATCCTTTTTTGTAGACTTTGTAGCAATCAGAATATTCTATGAAGTGTCGGTGTTGCATCCAACATTTTCTGAAATGTTAATCTGAAAATACAGGCGGTATTCGTAGATCGTCATGAGCGCAAACTGGGGGTAAAGTAACATATTTCTGCCTAGTTCAGTGACTAGAGTTGCCAGACTATGCCTCAGATATTGGCACCTTGTGGTCGAATGATTTCTTTGCAAATGAAAGTAGAACTCTCAAACTCATAGTGGTTGCTGTGGCAGCACGTAAACCCAGTATTAGAAGTCTTCTTTGAATGACCTTAGAGGCACCCCCGTGATAAAAGTTGTACTAAAAAAGGCAAAAGCCAAGAAACACTTGGGGGCGAACTTAGTGAAGACACATAAGGCGGCCAATGAGACAGTCACATTTTTTCGCTTTCCCTTTGAAGCGTCTGAATTGCTTGCAGGACAAGACCAGTAGCTGCAAAAGTAGCTTTCATTTCAAGTTAACCCGTACTGAGCGAGCGCATCCTGGCACTGGTGCCCACGCTTACGACATGTAGCGTGGCTTACACATGTTGCCTCCGCATCTTTCACAAAAATCCCAAAAGACCCCACATTTAATTATCGGAATGTACCATGTATTCTTCCTTGCTCCCACATCATATACCACGGGGAGAGACGGGGTAGTGCAGTTGGTTGCCCGGTTTTCTTCCGTTGCCGCTGAGGTCATGTCCGTCATCTGTGACACCTGTTCCAAGAATTTCCTTTTGCTTAGCGAAAGGTCTATTTGTGATATATGTAGACGTCATCATTGTTTATTAAATATTAAACCTAAATAGCGCAAAGGACAATCAAGAACAGGAACACAAAGATGGGACTAAAAAAAATGAATTAGTCATTATTGTTTATACAGTGGGAGTTTAGTCCACCAGAACATGGCGACATTTTACCCACTGTAGATAAAAAATTTAGCCAGTGCAGTACGACTGTATGGCATCCTAGCCTGAGGTTTTTAACATGCATCACATAGTAGTGATGCATGACTGCTTGCTGGTACGATGCTTATCCAGATTGAAGAGGGCGGGAATGGGAAGATGGGACAAGTGCTCTGTTCACAACTGTCATTTTCTTGCAAATACAAGAAAGAAAAGGAAGAAGTGAAAGTAGTTAAAATCGAAATACGAAAGTTGAAGAGAGCTACGCAAGTAACTGGATAAGCAAAAGAAAACCAGAGATGCAAAAAGCAAAAATCAAATCTTGCTCTGTACGGTGAGGCCGCAATTAAATTGATATAAAAATAGTGTCATGCTCTTTATGTTTAAGGGGTCATGAAACGCTTTTCCAGCTTTTTCCTGTTTAGCTTTCCTCCTCAACTCATAAATTGCACATTCCACCAAACAGTTCAAGAAGACGACGAAAAGAGGGGAGGCCCCTTTTGCTCGGAATCTGGTTTATGTACCCGGACAGAGCCATTCTCCCCCTAAAAGATTAGCCCGTCGCTCAAAATTCAGACAAAAGTTGCTTTCCCCAACCCTGTCACCCCGGAGCTGACAGTGCTGTGGAAGCTACGTGCTCGTTGGGCCAGCCACACTTGCCACATGATCACGCTCCTCCGCGCATACCCACGCGCAGAGATTGAGGTCAGGTGATGAAAGGGAGGTGACTGATTGGCCCGGCAAGAGCGCAGCTTCCACCACAATATCAGCTTAGGGGTGAAGAGACTGAGTGAGGTCCGGTTTTGTGTGACGTGCTTTCGGACCCGATGACGCGCTTTTGGGACCGCGGATGTATCACAGTGAAAAGGCAGAGAGCTTACGAAGGGGAGGAGGTACGAAGTAGTACACTGTGTTTTCAAATTTTCGCACTGAAAGTCAGGCTTTTGTCTTTCTGCCTTTTTTCTTTTGGCCCACTGAACGATGTGCTATTAGTAAAATCCCAATCGAAAATGATTTATCCCAACCAAAATTCCGTTTCATGGGCCCTTTAAAAGGACCATGAAATGACCTTTTTATTTTTGCCAAATAACTTTTACATTAAACCTTCAATATTCACTGAATGCCAAACAGGCATCCGTTTTCATTTAGATTTATTAACTTCTACACAAAAAATTAATGAAATATAGAATTTTTCCCCCTCTCCAGCTCACTGCAGAACAAGCTGCAGCGTAATTTTGACGGTTATGACGTCCGGCGGCTTCGGAACCGGAAGTTCACTCGGCAGTAAGAGAATGGGAGCATTAGCGGCGGCGAGTTGGCGGTGTGCCGGTAGGTTTTACTGTGGTGATGCCACTGATGCCACCGACATATTTTCTGAATCGACGCATCTCATCGCCGCGATAGCCATGGACACATTGCAGCTGAGCGAAATTTTGTTAGATATGTTGCGCTACAGTGGCAGCATGGGACTAGTCCCATATGCCAGTATGCCTGTTGGGAAGTGCGGCGAGTCTTCCGACGAAGACTCCAGTTCTTCGTCCGAATCGGCGGAGGGCTTTCGGAACCTGTCCGCATTTGCGGAGAACGCTGTGAATGTAGCTGTAATTACACTCGGTGTCAAAATGCTCTCAGTATATACAAATGACCTTAGACCTGGGGTCCCTCCAACCGATGAGCCTGCACCAAGTGCTTCAACGTGGTGCGGTGAAACTGCAACTGTTTCTTTTTAACCACCGGACTGCAGTAACTGTAATTCAGGCGCTTCGGTACACTGCAGCTTTTCTACTACTCGACCAGCCAGGAAACGAAAGTCTGTTCTGCGAACAAAGCGCATCATGTATAAAAAAGATAGCTTTCGAAGGAAAGAAGGTGTAAAAGAGTCCGGCTTTCTTTTAAAGGAGCTGTGCAACGATTTTAACGTTGAAAGAATTGGCATCTTCTACTTTCGACATTGTTCACCTTGTCACAAAGGACAGAAAACACACCTCCTTCCTTCAAAATGTTGCGATTCTGCCACGTAATCGCGAGGCAAAAATTAGAATATTCCCCGACCTGCAGCCGCGAGCGGCTGCCATGAGAACCACGCGGCATGACGTCAATGGGGGTCTTGTAGAAAGATAGCAAGTTGTGCGAATACCTGCTCGATAAAAGGTAACTTTTCTATAAATCTTGTCATTTCAACATAAATATAAATGCGTCAAAAACCTGGCATCATCAACAGAACTTTTATTATACGGAGTTTTAGTGGCGCCATCTATCCGGGGTCCACAAAACCGTCAGCTCTATCTGCTACCGCGAACAGTCGCCAGAAGTCGGAGGGGGAGGGGGACAGGGCCGGACGGGTATGGCCGGACCCGGATGAGACTTTCCTTCTTTCACCATATTGTTTGGGCTGCGCCCGCCAGCACGTGGTTATGCGGTCGTGAGCGGTTGAGTTCTCGCTGCTCACTGATGGCTCTAGAGAGAGAGCTTCACCGGAACCCCGCGCAAACCCCATTGACATCACAGCGCACGTGACTCGGAAGATGGTGTAGGAGTTGAGTGGTGCCGAAAACCTCAATCTTTGTCCATTTTTAAAATAAAAACTAGGACATGCAGGCAAAAGCGTTTTTTTTTTGTTCTGAAACTGTTGCAAGCTCCTTTAAAGGTTCTAAAACAAAGAATATTTTTTGGCTCTCTATTTTTGTGTTTTTGGGTTTCTTTTCATATCTTTTACGACGTGCGGTGGATGAAGTTCGATTTCAAAATCGTTTCATGGTCCCTTTAATATGCTTATCCCTTTGATGTCCAGCATTACCCAGGAGCCACAACTCAAGGATGATTCATTTTTTCCCGTGCCACGTGTGCCTCAATAAATTTAGCGCCCTCTGTCGCATGGGCGAGTATATTGGCGCTAGCAGTGGAGTTTTGAAATGCATCTTCAAAACAGATCACTTGTCTTTCAAAACCGAAATCGATAGTGAATGTGATATATGATGGCGTGCACCACTGGCCTCAAAACTGCGACAAGAAAGACCGGCGCAAATATTGCAGATTTGGTTATACCTTCTCTGTTGTGCAAAATTTTAAAATTCACCTGGGCCCTTTCTGATGTCGTAACTGCTTGCATTCGTTCGACGTGAAGTAGTGCCGCAAATGCACAGGGTTGCTTACGAGCAACATTCTGAAAACATGCTTATAAAAAAAGGTAATTTTTTTCCCGGGACCAGATTTCTGTTATTCTGTGTGTTTTAAAACAATGTCAGGGTTTATAGTTCTCTAGTTTTTCAAGTAAAGTTTTGGGCACGAGTAGCCCACCTTAATATTGTTTATGCGGAGCGCAGGTTTGTTTGCTTCTTGCACAAGGGTTGCAATGATGTCAAAATGCCAAGCTCTTAACGGCTGATTGAAAAATATAGTGGGTAGACCTCAAGGCATCAAGCATTGAGGTCTACCCACTATCCTTCCAATCAAAGAAAATTGGAGCTCGGCGTCGTTCTGACTGAATTGCAGCTCCCGCGCAAGAAGCAGATGACCTGCTCTTCGTATTACACCCCGAGGGCCCATATCTGCATTAACCGAGACGGGGGAGAAGGTCGTCATTTAAAAGCCGAGACGGAAACAGAGGTCGACGGGGCGTGACCCAGAAAGGGCGATGTGCAGCTGGGCACGTCTCCACTGCACATGGCAGCGCAGAACGGCCACCTGTCGACGGCGGAGGTGCTGCTGCGGGCGGGCATCAGCCGGGACGCTCGCACCAAGGTGGACCGCACCCCGCTGCACGTGGCTGCCCAGGAGGGTCACCTGGAACTGGTGGAGCTGCTGCTCAAGCACTCGGCCGACATCGAGGCCAAGGACATGGTAAGCGTACGGCTGCCCGAGACTCCGTCAGCAACCCTCGTTAAGGATTGAATCGATGGGGCTTCATGCGCCAAACCAACGAAGGGCACAGCCTTGGCGGAGAACCGAGGTCCAAATTCGACCGTTCGAGGATCTTTCGACGTGCAACCGAAATCTTGGTTACACTGCGGTGTCTGGAACGCCTCTTCCACTAATGTGTTTAGCGTCCTGTTCCGCCCGCACATTGAAAGTAATCCCGAAGTGGCAACAAATGACATCGCAAAAGCCGTAGACATCACAAAAGCCTAACGAAGTGTCATGCCGTCGGATGTCGCCGTCCTGGTGGCTGGTCACGAAAGTTCCGGCAAAAATCATGAGGAGGCACGAGTGTCGCCGTCGTCGCAGTGTAACTCCTGGCTGGCGTAGCTTCCGTGAACTGTCAAGCTGGACAGCAACCTGCAGCAGAACGAGTGTCTGCCATATCCAGCACCACCGCTGGCGCACCGCCAAGATCGAGACTGGTGACAGCCTGACACTTCTGTGGCGTCGGGCGGAGATGGAGGGACCGCTTTTTTGGACGCGTCAAACGCACCGGTCGGAAACGTGCCCTAGAGATACACGGAGTCTTCTCCGCCATGGGCTTCAGTCAAATTGCAGGCACCTCGGCCGAGACTCTAACGCACCGCCCGACCCTTCGGCCCCAGCCCCCTTGATCGGCCGCTGCCCCTCGATCGGCCGCTGCCGCCGTGGTGGTCGATTTTCCATTTGTTTCGTGCAACATTTGTCCCTGATGTGGCCACCTTTTTGCGTAGAGTTTTGGGGACGAGATTTTGAGGGGTAGATGTGCACTCTTTAGATTAGTATCGGGAGACCAACGGCACTGTTTTACCCCGTCGCATACCGTTTTAATGCGTGGAGTAAGCGGGCAAATGCCGGTAGCAACTGGCAGTGTCGATTCTGTGCAACCTCGTGGCCTAGACGATGTTGTCAATAAATGTAACTCGCTTAGTACTACGGGTAGCGCATTCCTTTTTACCCATTTTGGTTAGACGTCTCTGTGATGTCTTGGTCACTGTTCTTACAAGCTATTGGCCCTTAGTTTTACCGACTCCAGAGGTGCGATGAAGGAAAGAGGAGGTGATGTATTGCTGCTGGTTCTGTATTTGTGTACTGCAGTGATGGGATTTCTGCGCAGGGGCGGACGTAGGTATTTCTTGAGGGGGGGGGGGGGGGGGGGGGGGGTCAGGTGTTGGTCAGCGTATCATATATTTAAGATCCCCCCCCCTTTTGCCGTTTCCACGCTTTAAATTTTTACTCATGCAGAATTCAAGAGGGGGATCAGGACATCCGGCCCCCCCCTCTGAATCCGCCCCTGTTGCTGCGCCATTTGCGCTAAACTGTGCCGAGGTGCTTACCCTGCTACTTGCTGCTACATTTCGACAAAATGTGATGAATTTGTGTCAACGTTGTGCCAAAACGTAATTTCACTTTATTATTACTGAAAATAAAACATCTGAAGAGCCGCTGAATGGTTGGGTCATTACGTTAGACTTCTCTGAATTTTCAGAACTTTTAATTTAAGTAACCTACTACTCGATTTGATTTCTGTATCAAATACTGACTATACTCGTAGGTTGCGCAATATTTTCTGTTCGTGGTCTGTTCTGGTGATTTAAGTAGCTTCGTTAAGTGCGCTTCTCACTGCGCATGGATGCACTGCAGTGAAGCGAAAACCGCAGAGTAGGCATCGCAGTTTTTTTCTGTCACGCTTTGCCTCAGTGCAGCCACATCCTGACGGGAAAGCTCTTCTCCAAAACAAAGCGTCAAATATACAAAAATAAGAAATGAAAGATTTTTACAAATTTCTGTATTGCGAAACTAGAGTGGAGCTCTTGAGGGGGGGAGGAGGAGGGGAGGGTATGCTCCACCTCTGTATCCTCCTTCCCTCCTCCTCCCGCTAAATTTAGCGGGGAAATTGACGTCACATGACCTCATCACCAATTCAGTTTCCCCACTATATTTAGTGGGGGAAATGAGGTCCTATGACTTTGTGTCACGTCACCCATGAACAAATTCAGTTTCTCTGCTAAATTTAGCGGGAAAATTGACTTCACATTACCTCAACACCAATTCATTTTGCCGCTAAATTTAGCGGGGCGGTTATTCCGATGCCACGAAACGTGGAAATGGGCACCGAGGGCTGCACTCTAAAAAGAACTTTGTAAGTGCCAATGTAACAACTGGGTGATTTCAGATAAGATCGACCAAAGGGTGGCTGGTCGACATTTTTAAATCAACTGATGTTTTTATATGACATTGTCTAGTGTCTGGTATAAACGAATCCACACTTAGTTTTGACCAGAAAAAAAGTTTGGAGACAAGAAAAATCGTAAGGCAGGGAGAGGTGGACAGTTGCAATAACGCGCACTGATGGAGGGGGCAAGTTTGAAAGTGAATAATTAAAACAATAAAATTAGGAGAATTTTAAAATTTTTTACAAACAAACTATGGGTACAACTTGCTTGTAATATAAAGTAATAATATTTATTAAAAATTTATTTAGTTTTCTAAAAATTGCCAAACATGCCTGCTCGAACGACAAATGGCAAACTTTGGAAATCTGTATCTCATGAAATAATTTAATCATTATTACATAACTTGCAGACATTATTTTACTAATATATGGCTATTATTGAAAAAATAAATAAGGTATCTGAGTGACATAATAGTTACAATATATTTAGGCAAACATGGGAGAAAAATCAAACAAAGAAAAATTCCAATGCGAATAAAAAAAAAACACCACCTTCGATTTTTTTAAAATTTGGGTACCCTGTTATACTCTATTTCGGCATTCATTTCTATTAAAAACATGTTGCATCATTGCACTGTGAAAGAAGAAACAACTCCCCAAAGTAGGGTCCTTTTTCAAAGCCTACACTTAGCAGTGTCCTATACAAGAAGTGACTCTGAGTTCCAGTTTCATGAAACTTGCACAAATCTTTTATATACATTTATTCAGATGAGGTCATTGATAAAAAGAGCGATCGGTCACACAGTAAAAGGGAGGAGAAACTATATACAGCATTTTACATAAGCGTACAAAGTGGTATCATATTAGAGACTAATGATTTGAGAAAAGATGATGCAGTGTGAAGTTGTACCTTCCGGTATATTTTACATCTAGAGTAAAATAAATAACTTTACTTCCACACACAAAAACAAAGATATAATAGTAAGATATTTAGGTTGGCTGTGTATTTACGATTACAAACAATTTCAGGTGACGGATGCCATAGTGCCTAACTGGAGCAGCTTCGATGCTCTCGGTGTATGAATGAATCGTGGCAAGCCGATATATTTTATCCTGCTCAAGGATAACATTTTGGGATTTTTTTTATAGTGATCAGATAAAAATTATTAGTAGCCACCAACAAAAACAGTAGGTTAAATACCCCGTGAAGAAAAATGTGATAAATAAGATGTCCCTGCATTCAAAATGAGCAGTCCTTGGGAAATCAAATTCGGCACTTTACGCTAAGGTTTTCCTCGCTGTACCCATTTAATAAAGTTGCTTCCAAGCAGATCCGACTGTCCGTGCTACATATACGTCACAGGTCCCTTCTGTTGATGACTTGCCGAGCCGCCACGCGTGCCAAGACTGAATGCCAGGGAAGGCGCGCACCGTCAGCCACTCTTCTTTTTTTTGTTCACGATACCGAACAACTTCATTTTCGTCCAGATATACAAGATGCACGCCTTTCAGTTTCTTTGATAGAACGCTCACCATTGTCCTGGCCGTCTGAATTGCGCTTACTGAACGTTCTCTCAGGTTGTTCAGCGTGGCCTGCTGCTTCACGAGTCCGCCAACTCCGTCACATGCATTTTTCCCATGTCCAGATGCAGAAAATAACCACTGGGCTTGTGGGCAATCGTCCTTTGCAAATTGGTGAAGCTGGTAGCGATTCTTGAAATGACTGGCGGCGCCGTCACTTACGTACGTCACGTACGAGTATACCGCAACGTTGTCTTCAACCCACTCCTTCACTTTTTCTAGAGCCAAGCAAGCGTGAGCGGCGTCGTGACACAGGTCCTCACTGATGATGGCAAAGCTGTTTGTAGATTTTCTTGTCGTCACTACACATGTAAATATCGAAACTTGTTTTTTTTTCCAGTGATATGCTTGCACTTCGTCAGGAAGCACGATGGTCCAGTTTTCAGCAAAGTCAAAATGAAAGACGATGCTCCCGCGTTGCATGCACTGTTTTTCATCGTAGATCGCTTTACCTTGCGTTTGCCGGATATGGTTGTGAAGTACCCAACTTCCAACCGTCACTTGGATGACTTTTAGGAAAGTCTCAGGTTCCAAAGTTTTTTTCACAAGGTCGCCGGACTCCCATGTTGCAAGCACAATCTCTTCATCCTCCGGGATATCAAGTTCCTGGAGTGTAAGAAACTGGCCTTTTGGGCAGTGATCACAGTCTCCTTGAAGGCACAGTTCTGTTGCTGGGTCGCACAGAAATGCCGAGTTCATTTCACCAGTGTTGAATGTTGAGCCTGTAACGTTCTCTAGAGCGGCAATACAAAGATGATAATTGGCGCAGCGCACACAAACACACACTTCCTGGTGTGGAATACATTAGACCCATCTAGGGCGCAACGAATAAAATTTCGTTAGCCCAACGCCGGAATCGGGATGCTTGTCTTTGTATATACGGAAGGCCTCTCGTATTGAGCGTGTCATGAAGCGCTTTGGCACGAACGTTTTCTCTCCGTTGAGCATGACAGAGATGACGTCCTTCTGGTTGGGACTTTGGCGCGAACATTGTAGCTCGTCTTTCGTGAAGTACTCTAGGGCAGCAGACAGGTTCTCAGGGCTCACCTTGCACCTCGTGTAAGGATCCGGCTCATACCACACGCCATGCTTTTCCTTGAGTTTTCGGGATTTACTGATGAGGTACATTGAGGCCTGTGGAATCATCTTTTGAACCTCATTCTTCGTCAGTGTTGACGGCAGGAGT